TTTATTACAGCGATTAAAAGTTTAAACAGGTTACACATAAAACAGGATAAAAGATTATGTTGTGATATTTCGATCATCGATACTTATTACAATATTTTTCTATAATATTAGAATATAATATTAGAATCAAATATATTTCGATTCGATGCTATAAGTTTTATCAATCTTTCTAAATACACAATTTAATCAAAAATCGATGAAATTATAGGGATTTAAAATATTAAATAATCACTTTGATTGCGATTTCTACGGACAATAATTATTATTTAAATATTTAGAATTACAAATATATTTCATCCGTTTACTTTATCATTCTACTTGATAATTTAAATATAATTTGAGATGTGATAGAACGCGATGTAAAACAATCGAATTATAGATGCAAATAATTAGCACAACAAAAGACTGCCTGAATTGTTTGATAAATAATTAATTTTAATCAATAAATTAAATACTTTCATAATTTAATATTATACGTTAATGTATATTTTATAATATATAAAATATTTCGGTAACGAATTATCGATAACACGATGTTCGAGTTTGGCAATATAAAATATAAACAGTAGCGCTCTATACGGTGCCGCTTTGTCATCATTCGTACGGTGACTCTCGAGTAATAAAGTAGTGGTAAGAAACGCTTTGCATATTGTAATTTTTTTACTAAACATGATTACAATTAGTATAGAAACATAATTTACTATAAATTCTAATAAAAATTAATTAATTAAAAATTAATTAGCGACATGAAAAAGTATAGCAACTATAAATCTTTATCAAATCGCAATCATTGATTAGCGCAATTGAAAATTGATACAGGTTATACATAAAAGAGGATAAGAGATTATGTTGTGATATTTCGATCATCGATACTTATTACAATATTTCTCTATAATATTAGAATATAATATTAGAATAAAATATATTTCGATTCAATGCTTTAAGTTTTCTCAATCTTTCTAAATACACTATTTAATCGAAAATCGATGAAATTATAGGGATTTAAAATATTAAATAACAACTTAATCACTTCGAAACAAAAGTTTCCGTGATAAATTTTTGAATAAATAATCAATTTTAATCAGTAAATTAAAATACTTCTTTAACTTAATATTCTGCGTTAATGTATATTTAATTACAATGTATATTTAATGTATATTTAATGTATATTTAATTACAATGTATATTTTACACTAAAATATTTCAGCTAATTATCGATAACACGAGACGTTCGACTTTAACAATATAAAATATAAACAATAGGGCTCTATACGTTACCGCTTTATCATCATTCGCACAGTGACTCTCGAGTAATAAAGTAGTGGTGATAAACGTATATTATAATTTTTTTTGTTAAACACGATTATGATTATTCTTGAAACATAATTTGTTATAAATATTAATAAATGTTAATTAATTAAAAATTAATTAACGACATGAAACTGTAATGCAACGATAAATCTTTATCGAATTGCAATCATTCATTACTGCGATTAAAAATTGAAGCAGATTACGCATAAAAGAGTATAAGAGATTATGTTTTGATATTTCGATCATCGATGCTTATTATAATATTTCTTTATAATATTAGAATATAATATTAGAATTAAATATATTTCAACCAATGCTTTAAATTTTCTCAATTTTTGTTAATTAAATACACAATTTAATCGAAATCTTATTATGTAAATTTAAATTTATATACTATATTTCAAAATAAATTCCAAATTATATATATATATTATATTATATATTATATATTATATTATTAAATGGAGTGAGAGTAAAAGATTTGAGAGCTTTTACTCTCACTCCATTTAATTATTTTTTATAGAGAGCTTATTAATTACAATTATTATATTATATTATATTATGTATAAAAAAATTATATATAATATAACCCTCCCATGGGGTACACCTTGTCGCGGTGGGAGGGCTTAGTACTTGGATGGTGTCTTGAGATTTATCTTAAATTTTTCTATTTATGATAAATCTTAAGGTGCTTGAAAGGGAAGCTAAGTACCCTTTCGCGTCGTCGGTGCCGTCAACGTGCCGCGGACGGCAAGCGTTTCGTTACCGCGTTTTCGCGTTGTAGTATTCTCGCGTCGTCGCGTTTTCGCGGAAATTTTGGACTTTTTCATATAAAATCCCAATTTCATTTATTGTCACGAGTCTCTACTTCCGATGCCAACTAACTGGGATGTTTCGAGTTTGCACACGTTGTTATGCAACGTACACTCGCGCTTCGTGCTTCGTACTTCGTCAAATGATTCGGCCCGAATTAGTTAGAACTCGATCGATTGCTCGGAATGGTCGTCAATGGGTCCCTTCTCTTTGCTCGTCTACCTTACAGCCACACGCATTGCGTGTGTTAACCCTGTCGAGGAGTCGAGTGGATTCCCCTAAGCATGATTTTCGCTCGGTAAAAGGGGTTGCCTCCCCATTTTTTAAATTGCTGAATGTTAGCATTTAAAAAATGTGGGTATCCTCTTCTTTTGCCGTCTACCAGCCTGGTGTAGCCATATCCTGCATTGCGGGAAACTTCGTGTTCCGGGCGAAGCACCTGAAATCATGCTTAGCGGGTCCAGGTTCGATACGAGATAGGATAATTATGCGCGAAAAAGAGCTGGTGAACTTTATTTTCCTCTATTCCTCAATCGTTTCGTCTTCTTTCCGGTTCGGGCCTAATCTTTGCTCGTTGTATCGTTGCACTCCCGACCTGTTGGCTCAAAGTTAAGTCTCGTAAATGAAATGAGATTTTCGCTCGTACCGAAACCGGGAGTGTCGTTGAAAGTATATATATATTAATTATATACATCGCGCGACCAAATTTTTAATCCGAATACCGAAGTAGTGCGGGAGTGCCGTTTAGTATCGCGCGTAAAATAACGAAAATAGCGATATAAAAATATCGCTCGTGAGTGCGGGAGTGCCGTTGAAAGTATCGCGCGTCAACAACATGAGAGGAGGAGGAGGCCTGGGAGAGGCATCTTGCATCGGCGGAGCAACCTGATGGTGAATATTTATTATTTGTATATCAATTGTTATAAATCATACGCGTAATAATTCGATCTTATCTAAATGAATTAAAGAGAAAATTAGAGAGAAAGATTTTTATAAAAGTTATATAAAACTTTCTAAAAAGCTTTCTTAAAAAACAGTTTTAAAAATTTATAAAATTTTTCCACACGTGTTTATCTCTGTTTATTATTTTACACATCGGATATAAAATTCCGCGCGATAAAAATTTTTTGAAATATTGATTGCATTTTGTGAGCATTAATATAAATGAATTTTATATTTGTATGTTACAGACAACGTAGCTTCGATAATTATAACTCTGCTGTTGCGCATCAGTGTCGGTGAGTGAGAAAAACTTTTATTTAACTTTAAGGTAACGGATTCGTAGAGATTGTAGATGTAGATTGTAGATTCTAGATTGTAGATTGTAGATTGTAGATTGTAGATTGTAGATTGTGAATTGTAGTAAGTCCGTTGCCTTAAAATGGATGAGCTATGATAGATTAAATTAAATAACTTTTAATAAATTCTTTCGAAATGCTTTGCATCTATTACGAAAATATATTGAAGTATTATTTTAAAAAAGAGAATCAAGAAAAGAAAATTTTTTTTGTAAAGACTTGACTAGTTTATTAAATCAAGAGCACGCATCAATATTTTTAACAATTTTATCAATTTTTGATACTACTTTATTCTTATAATGCGCACTTATTATAACGCTCTAATTTCTTATATCATAGCTCATCCATTGTAGAATTTGTTTGTAGATATTGTTTTTAAATTTTACTTTAACTTAAAATAAAGCCAAACGATTAATTAATTAAATAATTTGTAATATCATAAAAGTTATACACATACATGAATTTTATATTTTATTAGAAAATATGGTATATAGAAATTTGTAGTAATTTGGCTTTATTTGAGTTAAAATAAAGTTATATTCAAATATTTAAGAAACGATCGTAAAATCGAGCGATCGTTACGATGAGCGTGAAATATTTACGCTCATTTGCCGGTAATTAATCGGCAAAAGAGAAGGAGTGTTTATCTCCTTTTTCGATCTCTGATTAGAGATCGAGCGAGAAAGTGGCCAGAATCAACGAAAAGTAAGTTCAACTGGCCTGAAGAAAAGCTTTACGTACAATAGTACGTAATGGACATTTATTCACGCGGTTAGGGCATGCGGTTAGAAAATGTAATTAGGGCACGTTATTAAAATATACATGATTAGAGATAGGCTTTCTTCGAATAATTTCACTTAATCGAGAAATAGGATTGTTAGGGCTATTAAATTATTAAGATTTTTGCTATACAGCATGGCATTTCGTGTACATAGGCATTTCGTGTATTACAGGCATTTTTTACATAGCACGGAACAAAATCAGAAATTGTGCACATTATATATTACCCTTTGAGAACATTCATGGACATAGCTTTGTAGTTCATGTCCGCGTTTTCAATGTCCATAGAGGGATCATCGCTTTCAGAGATCACCTAAAAGTAGGCCATGAGACCTCTCAGTCTTCTTTCTGCTAGTAATAACAAAAAATTGATTCCGAAGTCATAACATTCGCATTAATAATTATTTTTGCAAATAGAATACGATATTTATTTTTACAATATTTTTGCGATATTTTTATAAAATAAAATAAATTTAATTACGTTACATTTAAGTTTTACAATGGCCGCATTCAGCGGACTCAACAGTTGGGCAACATTACTAGATTTTTCGATGTAATTCGACGCTGATTGTTCGGATCTGAAAGTAGAAACCAATCATGTTCGATTGCTTAATGGTTGAGTCCGCTGAATGCAGCCAATGTAAAAGAGAATCTGGACATTTTCAATCTTTTGCTGATTGACCCATTTCATATTCGACCAAATATGGCGAAATTAAAGTCCAGACTCTTTTACTTGATTTTGAATTAAATTATGCAATCACTTATTCTATCTCTAGTATATATCAAGTTTATGTCGATATTGCGGGCATATTTAAGAAAATGTGCTGCCTGTGTCGCGATAAGACGCGATGGAGTGGCGTACCGTAGTGATAATAGTGTTGGTCGTGAGTCTGTGCTTCTTTATAATACCAATTAAAGTGAAGCCCAACAAAAATGTCGAGGACGCCAAACTATTTGAGAATTACATTGTCCAATATAATAAATCCTACAGGAATGATTCTACAGAATATAAAAAGCGATTCGAGTGCTTTCAGGTGATAACGATAAGTCGATCTATCAAAATCGTAGTCGCAAAAACACAGACGCGACGCACAAGTTTCAAATAATTGCGCATATATTTTCTACAAATTTAATTTTTCGTCGGATTTCATTGTTTATCTTATATATACATAATTTTCAATCCTTTAAACAAATATTTCAATTAAAAGAATATATCATATGAATCATTTATTCATGATACGACATGCGATATGCTTTAATTAATTTTATCGAGATTAACATAATAGATTGAAAGATAAAAATGTTAATGTATCGTTTTTAGACACACAACTTTTCTCGATATTTACTTCGATTATATCATATTTTTTGCATGTTTTTATTTTGGAAACTCGATACAAATTAATTCGAAATGTATATTATAATTATTACATTAATATTATATAAAACATAATAAATATATATAGGAATTAAAGAAATATATATAGTAATATAAAATTCAAATTATATAATAATGTAATTTAAAAAATTATTTTTTTGTATTTATATCAATGCTATATATAAATGCAGTTTTTGTTATTTTAGTAATATTAATTAGCAAATATAATTAATTGCAGAAATCATTGCGACACATTGAAAAGATGAATAGTTTCCAATCATCTCAAGAAAGCGCGTATTATGGATTGACGAAATTTTCTGATTTATCTGAAGATGAATTCTTACAACAAACTCTGCTTCCCGATTTATCTTTGCGAAGTAAGCATACTTTTAAGAGCAATTACAATTAACTTTAAGTAATTAACTAAGAGTAATCGCAAAAATAGGACAAAAGAGAAAATTAACATAATAATTCTTTTTTAATTTCAATAATTTTTTTAGAGAAATATTGAATTCCTTTAATAATTGTTTTGTCTTATTAAACACAAAAAATCTCAAGATTCAAATAAATCTTCAAGATTCAAAAAAATTTCAAGATTCAAATAAATCTTTAAAAGTTTTATAATTTAAAAAATTAAATATTAATTTAAATTAAAAATCTTTATTTAAAAAGTCTTTCAGAATTCAATTATAATATTTAATAAAATAAACAAAAATGTGTCGAAAGAAAGCTCAGGACACGAGTTAGATATAAATACAATACACAATTTATTCGCTAATATGAACATGGCAATTTATCAATTAGATCAAAAACATACGACGGCGTCATATTATCATCAGTATTTTACGAACTCGAGTAATCATGGGAAAAGGGCGATAATACCCCCACCGATACCCTCTAAAGTGGACTGGCGGAATCGAGGGGTCGTAGGGCCAGTTCAATACCAAGATAATTGCGGTGCGTGCTGGGCATTCAGCACTATCGGGGTGGTCGAATCCATGTATGCCATCAAAAACGGAACTTTATATCCCTTTAGCGTGCAAGAAGTAGGTCGTTATATTCCTGACACGCTTCTCTGTTTACAGTCAAGGGAACTGCTGGAAACGGCACACGCGCGTAGCCTGTGCAAAATGCAAATTTGATGAAAGTACCTTTATGCGTGTACACGTATAAATAAATTTTATCATCCAATACATTTATTATATATATATATATTGGTCGACTTTCAAAAGCCATTTAGATTTTTTCTTTTTTATTTCAGCAGTCCCCTTAATATTTCAACTTACAATCTGCCACGTTACACGTAAAGAACTACAGAAAAGTTTTAAGATTTTAAAAAGATTTGCTATATATTACTTTTTCTCGATGCTAAAAAAAATCAATAATAAAATTGGATATTTCCTGAAAATCTTTCAAGTTTTTTAGGTCTCTATATATCCATTTATATAGTTATATATAGGTCAACTGATAGTTTATCTTTTATCTCATGATACAGATGATCGACTGTATGCCGGGCAGTTACGGGTGCCAAGGCGGTGACACATGCGCTTTACTTTCGTGGTTACTGGAATCAAAAACTAAAATCATTTCTGAGAATGTTTATCCTCTTACATTGCGAAACGATCCATGTAAATTATCTAAGTAAGTGCATGCAAGTGGCAAGAGTATTTGTTTAGCAATATAAAAATATGACTTCATCTAAAGGCTTATATATAATCGTATTAATAACACAATGGCTTAAAGCGATTCAATACTATTTCAGAACTTCTGCGAAGACGACGGGAGTTAAAATAACGGATTTTACATGCAATAGGTAGTTAATTTTTATATTTATAAATTATTATTTAGCCTCAATTATTCATTTTTTTATGCGCATAGTTATAATATAAGTTAGAATATAAATGTACATGTATTTCCTGTTATGTATAATCCTAATTGCATAATTGCCGATTACACAATTTTTGCACTCTCTATGCGTCTAACATTAGTTTTCGAATACTAATCGAGCTTGTTCCAGCTTTGTAAATGCTGAAAGCAATCTTTTGACATTGCTTGGTACTCATGGACCAGTGGTGGCTGGAGTGAATGCTATATCTTGGCAGAATTATTTAGGCGGTATAATACAGTATCACTGCGATGGTTCATTCAGCCATTTGAATCATGCGGTACAGATTGTGGGATATGATATGGCAGCGAGAATACCACATTATATCATTAAGAATTCGTGGGGCTCTACCTTTGGTAACAAAGGTTACATTTACATTGCGATCGGTAAAAATTTATGCGGTAAGATTAATTAGGAAACAGGGTAGCACACATGCGACATTTGTGCTAATTAAATCTATCGACTATTTCAACAGATAATAAATCCTGTGTTCGCAGGTATAGCTAATCAAGTCTCGACGATTGATCTCGATATTTTTTAATCGACTACAACATCGCAAATCTATTTAAGGAAACAGACTGATTGTGAGAAGCCAAGGATCAATTAAATATATATATATATATATATATATATATATATATATCCTTTTTTTTACAGAACGTATATTATAGACAAAAATATCGATAAGATAATAAAATATTTTATACTAGATATATGGCAGTAATATTTCTCATGCCAATATGTTAACTGAAATATAAATATAAATATGTGAAATAATAAATGTAATTAAATTAAATATAGTCATTTACATAAAGACTGATCCAAAAGAAAATTCAATTTTTCAAGAAGTGATAATGATACTTGTAATAATTCAAAATTATACATATAATATAATTGTAAAATTATATAATTATATGTGAGCATTTTTCTTCATAATATATTATAAAAAAATTCTCAATATAATGAACTCTCAAAATATTGACCTTTATATATATATATATAAGTGTAATTAATAATTTAGAAATAATTAGTAGAAATTTTCTGGTTTTTTTTCTTTTATATCATAAATTAATTTTAAAAATTGCACAGTATATATTGAAAATCTTTCTAAAGATATAGTAGTAATTCTACTAACTTTTTACTATGTTGAAAAATTAATATATATTTTTCGACATAGTATATATTTGTTTAATCTAATTGTTATATGCAGCATAAGTACACTCAGATTGACCATATGATAAGAAAATAAAACTTATTTATAAGAGGTTTTATGAGGTCTGCTGTGTCGTGCGTACAATAACTTAGGAGTTTCATAAAGAGTCCCCTACTTTATTTTGGTAATCTTCCGAATTCCAATCGCTCCAGGCAATTGATAATTTTATCTTCATTTGTTTCGTCAGTGGTGGAATCATATGACGAGGTATCAGGAATGTTGATAAGTTGAATAAATCGAGGAAAATTTTATATCTATCGCTGTTTAACACATGAAAGAAGCAAAAAATTTGTTATTAAACTTATATACTTTCATTTGCAAATACGATTCGTAAACATAAAAAATCCGGTCCTTTCTATTAGTTATATAATATGTCATTTTCTACATATCTTTAGAAAATGACATATTATATAACTAATAGAAAACAGTTATCTGTAACTTTTGTCAATGGAATTTCTCTATTTAGCTTATTGATTTATGATGTAAAATTTGCACCGATAAAAGTTCGTGATAAATAAGAGATTGTATAAGAGAATCGTATTGCATATTTGTGCATTAATATCTATAAGTTTTCTCGTTAAATAAATTATAATATATTGAATTAATTGAAGTAATTAAATACCTTAGCGTAGATTTTAGATAATGATAACCAGAGGAACCACCAGTGCCCAATTGTTGAGATCCGATCATCCTTTGTACCATGATAACGTGATTATCTGGTAAAAGAGATTACTTTTTTCACAATGCATATATAAACGGATAAGATTGTAATGGACGCTATAATGTTCGCATATTTATATATAATTAATTAAATGTATAATTTAATTAATGTACAATTTAAAGATTAACACGTGATATATAACGTGATATATACACGTGATATATACACGTGATATATAACGAGAAGTAGATATAATATAATATATTTTATAATACATTATTAATGTGCATTTTGCTTTAATTATTATTTCTTGCGTAATCATTATTTTTAAATTATAAATAATAAGAAATTCAAAAGAAAAGAACATCAAATGTCAGTAAAATAAATATAGAAGAAATAACAAGATTTCAAAGAGAAAAAGAAAGAAAGAAAAGCTATAGCAAAAAGGAAGGCTATTTAATAAAACCTTTTTTTAAAAGAAGCATCTTGAATAAATCGAAAAATTCGAAAATAAATGAAATGTATAGTTTCAAAGTTTTATGATACGAGATATTGATGAGCATTTTCTTACACCTCCATTTTGTGATTAGTGAATCGATATCCATTAATGTCATGAGGATTTGATGCGGTTGATTGAATCGCGGCTCGTCCCGATACAAAGTAATCATTATTGCTCCTTGAAGGGCATCGTATGAAAATTTACGTTCCCCGCGCGACACAAGAGCATTGTGGAGTGATTCGTTGAAGATAGTTTCGAAAATTGCTTGCCGAGAACGTAGATTAGCCAATAAATGTTCTTTGATTTGCTGCTTTGGTTGTTTCTGAAATTTGCTCAAATTTTAATATTCAAATAATCGTCCTGTAACTTGAAAGTAAAAAAAGAAGGTTTATATATTAAAGTCTGTCTACTCTTCTTTATAATTCTCTTTTTTACAAACTTCAATATTAGTTTTATTATATAATCAAGTTTTAAGTTTTATTAAATCAATATTCACATCTAAAGTTAATTAAAAAGCAAAATTTTTCGTGAAACTTATTTTTTTACTTATTTCCAGAGTTTTTAATCTTAAAATTATTTCATAATATTTCGCATTATCTATCGACATTATTTCTAAGAAGAACTCCAAAATTGTTAATAAGAGATCTTAGATAATTGTATAATTTATATTATATAATTGAGATTATATATATATATATATATATATATATATATATAAACATGTTTATATATATATAAACATGATTACATGTGCGGCCTGTTCTTGCTCGGTCAGCATCTTCTCCACCGATCGCTTGTATTTTCCCCAAAAATCGAAATCATGAGCCTCAAGTCCTGGTGTCCTGGTTAACCATTTTTGAACCAGAATACTGAGACTATGCTCCTCTTCTGATCGCTTGATCGCCTCGATAGCTTTAGGATCTCTCCCAAAGATCCTCATATAACTCTGATTATATTTGACTCTATGCTCCCGTTTCACGCCCAATTTGTTCTCTAGTAAACGGAATTGTAGTGATTGGAAACCTGACGCTGGACATAAGTAGTCTCGAAATGCCATAAAATCCAATGGCGTCATCGTTTCCAAAATCGTTACTTGATCCACCAATAGCTACAAATTAAAATAAATTAAATAATATTCGTCTGTAAATCATTGTCATCGTTGTCACATAGTGTACATTTTATGAAAATCGAATAAAATAACAGTGATGACAAGTTAAAATTATCTGATGAGAAATATGTTCATATAATTTTATATTGTGCAATTATTTTGACATTTGATCAGGATTCTATTGATTAACTGCGCGCGCTTAAGATTAGCAAATTTAATAAGAAAAAACAAATTTCTTAATTGTAACAGTAATTATAAAAAAATACATATTTAAACAAATGGTAAATTTTATAAGTACAAACAAATGTGCTCAAAACATCTTTATCGATTTGTCAACGCGACTGCATTCGCATTTCTATGGGTACCAGCGTAAATAAAGGGTGCATAACTACAATGCATTTTTAATGTGGTGCATTATATAAAATGCACGACAATGAACAAATATAATTGTATTCTTTATGAAATGTGAAAAGATAATTTTTCAAATTTTTGTTTGTTCAATAAAGTACTTCTCATAATTTATAAATTATTTTTTGCTAACTAATATATTCATATTTTGCATATGTATAATCATAGATAATTTATTATGTTTACACTTTGTGAACTTTATTGAAAATAAATTTGTGATATCCAGAATCGATCTGATTTCAATTGTAATTCTGTCTCAAGATATTTGATATTATGTTCTCATGCATATCGAGAATGCTCATGAAGAACCGTTTTGTTGAACCTAAATAAGAAAAGATTCGACCACACCTTCGTTTTGCGGTATTGAAATAGAGTAACGAGAATTTATTACCTAACATGACATTTTTTTCTCTCTTCTCTTTATAATAGAAACAGATAGACGGTATCGCATGTCATCTAAGAATATGATCTTACTCAGATATCTCTGTGTGGTTCCCATATTCTGACTTATAATACATAAAAAAAGAGGACAATGTCCGTCATGTTTTAAATATCAATAATATCGCTTTAGAAAATATCGCTTTAGTCGAGAAAATATCAATCTCGAACGAAATCTCTATCTATGAAAAATGAGATGACATCATTAAAATTTTATTTTTCCTTGTATTTATCTATTTTATACTCTTGTAAATTATTATGTTCATTTAAAATTTCGATTTACAAACATCATATATGTAGTTACAAAGTACTCTACATATGTTTTTAAAAATGTGTACATATGTGTACATATGTGAAAAAATATGTGACAGTAAACAGCTTTGTCTAGTGACATAGAAAAATTTGATTATGTCGAAGGGACGCGTAGACTGTTACGAGCTAATCGGCTTGTGATTAAGGGCCATTCAACCCTTCATTGCCATCACTGTTATTGTAAAATAAGCAGATTTATCTGTATACATTTAATTAGTGCCTCTCTCTAATTAGATTATTAGATATAAAAATACATCTTATTTTTCTTACAATGATTTCTTTCCAAAATAAATTGTTTGTAAAACGTACTTTTAGGATGAGTACAATGCGATTTAATCGCCTCAGAATCTCCAAGGTATTCGACTCTTTCAAAATGTAAGAAACTCCATTATCCTGTTTGGTAATCGAATGATTGCTGGAAAATTTATTGGATGCGTCGTAACTATTGAATTCCGAACTGAAGAGCGCCTTAACGGAATCGAGCTCAAAAATAATTTGTTTGAACCAAAGTTCATAGGCTACGACAATCAAAATGTATGCAATTAAACAATTAAAGTTATATGCATCGTATCAATCAATATTTAAAATATGAGTTTAAATATTACATATGTGTGTGTCTGTGTGTCCGGCAAATTACGTTTCTAAAGCAAAATTTTTTATTAAAAGAATTAAGAACAATCTTTATATATTATATTTCGTATATTTCATTCTTATAAAATTGTTTTGCTATTTTTATCAAGAATAACACATTTTGATAAATTGTTTTGATAAAATGTTTTGATAAATTTGACAATATTCATTTTTTTCCTCAAAATGTTGATTGATTCATTTTTCATTTTAATGAACAAATATTAAGCAAATAATTGAGAAAACATTCCTGAGAAAGTATCCAATACTATCAAAATAAAATTCATATTAAAGATAGTGAGATATAGTGAAGAAATTAAATAATTAATTGCATAGTATTTCACGTTTTGTAATATTTTTTCATCAACATAGAAGAAATAAGATATATCTACAAATTTAATTGTTAAATATCATTAAAAATTAATAATACCTTGATGAGTAATAATAAAAAGGTGTTCATCATGAATTTCATTGTTATATTCAGCGCTAAGAAGTCTTTGTGCAGATAATATCTTGTCCAAACACAGATATTCGTTATACAACATCACTGGTCTTTGTTTTAATTTATCCTCATCCTGATCGTGATCTTCTCTTCGCAAGATATGTTCGTTGTTATCTCTTTTTGTTACAGAAGATTGCATTACAAATAAAAAAATAATATTCAGTGAAATCTAATGTTGATGACGTTAGAACTTAACGCAATAATAATTATATTGTGAAATATTTTTATCATTATTTTATCGTTTAAAAATATAGATATGAATGTACAAATAATGCAAAGTCGCATAACTAAATGTAAGTAATGATAATAAGTAAATGTATTCTCATAATTTCTTTCATAATTTCTCGTAATAATATTTAATGAAAAGTATATTTAATAATGTTGCAAGTCAATTTTTTTAGAATAAAAGAAGTAGAATATTGAATACTGAAGTGGAAGAATTGAAATCACTTCGATTAACTTAATCAATTTAATTTATCAAATGATATCTGCATTTCATTAAAATATTATTTTGATGTGCACATATTATCGTATATATATGTATTTAAATCGTGTAAATATTATATTTATAATATTATTTTTGTATTAAAAAAAAATAAGAAACAATGAATGATACTAATAACAAAAGTATTAGTTACAACATATAATAAAAGTTTTAATATTTTATATAATAGCGCGTTTTATATAATAGTTTGATGGTACATGTCTAAAAGACATCTAAAAGACGACTTAAAGACGTCTTAAAATTCTCTAGACATCTTTAAGTCATCTTTTGGCCTTTTTGTGCTGTCTGAGTAGCTATTAGAAAAAACTTTCAAAAATAAGTGTATTTATGTGATTGATAAATCTATCATTATAATTTTCTAGCGATCTTTTTTTGTGATTCTTAACGAGATAAAGAAATAGCAATAAATATTTAAATATTTCAAATTTAATTATTTCAGAATGAAGGGTTGAAAGAGTATTTTACTTACGAGATATCACCTGATATTGGACAAGCCATTTTTAAAATATATGTGTCCTCACTATGCTGTGAAAAATAGATGAGAAAACTTTGTAACAAAGTGTTTTTAATATTTTTTTCTTTTAAATAAATATAATAATTACTCTATAGAATAAAAAATAAAAAGAATAAAAATAATAAATTAAAATTCTATCAGAAAATAAATGTCTATTGAGATTCTTTAAATATAACTTTTTGAGATCACACGCAACACACGTTGTCGAAGAGATGGATGACGCACGACTAAAGGTTCGATTGGCTAAAGGTCGATTAGAAACTATCTTCTTTATATAACATAACAATATTGCAATCAAAAAGATGTTAATGTCATGATTTCACAATAACTATAATATTGTCATTATACATAATTGATTTATCATATTACAAAAATCTCAACAAAAAATAAACTTGGAATTAATTTTGATAATATACAAAAGTTATTTTTGTTTTTATTTATCGTAAAGAACAATAGTACTGTTCATCGTTCTACTTCGATACATAAGTATTATTTATCATTACATAAGAGAGTGATTAGAAATTTTTTTGTAAAAGATTAAATAAAGTAAGCATATTGTCCTCCTTTTTTATTCCTAATTAGAGTTAAGTTTTGTCGATAAATTGTTATCCGTTGCAGAATTCTATAATGTCGGTCGCGAATTTCTTTCAATTCTTTCTATTTATTCCTTTCCACGATAGATATCGGGTCATGTATATTTTAATGACAATATTATTATATAATAATAACGAAAATATTTCAAATGTCTCTCTCTCTCTCTCCCTTTCTTTCTTGTACGCGAGAATAAATATTTAATACAGGAAGTAATTAGAAACGACCATACTGGCAAATTTTATTAAAGTGAATCACGACGTTTCGACCATGGTTTTGGTCCTTTTCGAATGAAAATAATTTAGTTAATTATTCTATCGTGAGAAATAAGGAAATCACTTCGTCAAGATTGTTATGTCAACCGTCTCCATCAACACACAGAGAAAGACTGGCTTAAAATATTTAATAACTATTAATAATAATTATAATAAACATGGTGATATTGGATAGTAATGAAATGTCTATCATGCACATTTAATCTTCCACCGGACATGCAATTTCCGGAAATTTTGATAATTCCACATCGCTGATTAATTTTATTCACTTCTGTCAGAATGCTGCTCTTATTCAACCGCGTTTTCAGCCATTACATTCGTTAATTTCGACTGTACATTATCAGACAATCTAATGCATATTTACAGATAAAACTAATTTCAAAACTCTATTTTTACAAAAAAAATTGATCATTAAAAAATAAACAAGTTTCATTTGAAACATAAATGTTATATATTAACATATATATAATATATAGTAATAATATTCTCAATTAAAAGATTATTTTGTATTTTGAGATCTCTATGAGTCTATTCGTTTTAAATAAATATCAATTATAATACAAACATATATAAATAAAAATACTCTGTATCCGAGAGATTCTAAGTAAAAAGAGACATTTAATTTTTTTCTAATCTTTAATATTTCCACATTTTATGTTGTAATTAAGATAAATTAATCGATTTAATAAAGTGGAAGTTTTTGAAAATTTAACGTTTAACAATTGCGCATGGATTTTTCTCAAAATTAAATTCATATAATTTATTATCAAAAGCAACTTATTATTAAAAAAGACTGAAATAATACGTATAAATTATAAATAAAAAGAAAACATTCTTCGTGATAAATAATATTTTCTGAGAAACATTTTACGATTAAATTCTTAAAAGTATTATCTTGAAGTGTTAGCTTTGTAATTTTTATTTGATCTATTTCATATTTTCAATATTTCGATTATGATATGGATTACAATTCGATACTCTGAAATATTTTTTCAATCCTTTATTATGAATCGAAGCTAAACCAAAAAAAAAAAATAATTATATCAACACAGATAATCTTTTGTCATTAAATTTAATGATTCATATATATTATTATCATCAAATTAAGTAAAACTACGAAATGTGATAAAAACTACGAAATGTGATAAAAAATATCAGTACTGTATTGAAACTAAAAAAATGTAATTTTTATTAAATATTAAATGTTAAATGTATTTTTCCATTTGATTGAATCAATTAGTCTATCTTGTTTGTAACATAAAGTTGGAATATTAAAAAGATTAAAACAAAATTAAATATATTTTTTCTTGTTATAATAAAATAAAACTATATATATTTTATTTTATATATTGCAATCTTTTTAATTTATAATTATTTTTAAATATATTTCGTATATATTTTATTCAAAATATACACTAAAACTGTTATTCAAAAATATCTTTGATTACATTACAACTCTTGTTTATGTAATGATGCTTATCTCATCAAGAAATGTTTTATCATAATTACCGAGAATAGACATTATGTTCATATTGAACGTATTCATCGTTAATTTCTGATATTTCGTCTAACGATCGTGCGTTAGATTCGTCCTCTAGTGTTCTGCGGATGTGATCTTAAGATTGTAAGCAAGTCGACACGCCCGGAAGTTCAAGTGGATATGTGAGGTTTAATTGCTGTAATATAATCAGCACTTATCATTAGAGAAACGCGAAATGATATTGAAACAGATGTGATTTTTGCATAATCATTAGCATTGAGCTTGACATCCTTTTAGTTTCATTACGTTTCTTTTTTTGCCATGTGTTGTTGCGTTTACGAATAGCGAGTAGCGAGTAGTTTCTCGGCTGCAATTTGCATAAATTAATACCTCCTGCTATCCTCGTTTTCCTGTTTAGCGTTCGTTATTACATTTTCTCTCAAGGCGCGCATAGAGGTCTGCCTGTTGTGTATAACAATTTTCTAAGTATATATAGCACGGTTCCTATACAAAAAATCTTATATATTATTATATTATATTCTTATATAGGCTTTACTTGAATGAACAGCATACTTTTACATATATAAGCAAAAATTAAATATTATAAATATTTTTATAAAAATAAAATAATAATAAAATATGTAGCAAAAATATATTTTAGCGGCTTAAAATTTGTATAATTTGTCTTTTAAAATGAATGTACAAAAAATAATAATATAAAATAAGCTTACGCAATAATAATTGATATAGAAACAATGTAAGGAATGTATCAAGGTGAAAGCGTGTGGGTAAAAATCTAAATTACAATGTTAGGATTAAGATAACGATGATTTACCTCGCAGCATTAACATGCGTGCTTATTGTTAGTACATATATTTGGCCGATTACTTCTTTTCCCGAGCGGAAACTGCTGGTACAATCTCCGGAATTTTCTTAGAATGAGAGTTCGTTCTGTCGCAATCGAGTGCAACGACGTAAAATGAAGATAATGCACCGGCTGATTATTTGTCCGCAGTTTCGTTACTTTATGCCCGTCGGGTTGGGTCGACGCATTAAATCACGCGGAATCCGTTTTACGGATTAAAGTAAGAACCTGGGAAAAAGAGAGAAGTTGCGCTCTCGATCTCGTACACGCGGTATATACGAGGTCTTTCCTTTTTCTCACGATTACGATAACCTACTTTTCGTGATAGTTCGTTGTACCGCGAATAGCAAACTTGCTCCTTCCAGAATCCCGTCATCCTCGATCGGGTAGAACATTATTTCGAAGGAGATGATAAAGTACATGTATATATATAAATATATATATATATATATATATATATATATGTAAATGTATATAAAATTGTACATAAAATTGGGTGTCATTTTAAAGACAAAACGCTACGCCGGAGATGCGCTTGCGAATTTATGCAATAAGTTTCCAACATTGGACCCATCTTGAACGTATCTAATTGCTGGTATGCGGTGTTCATTAATTGCGACCGGAAAAAACATTTCACAATACAACAGAATCGTTCGAGCCATAGCACTTAAACGACCGTCACCGGTGCATTTCCTATATACATGCATTTATTTTAGCTTCAGCAAATTTTGCATAACGATCGTATTTCCTATCCCGTAATTGCACTTGTAATCAGTCAAATGCAAACAATCAATGTTCTTCTTTGACACATTTCGCGATAAAATTCACATTCGCTGCCTATGATTTCGTATACATATGCAAAAATTTTGTTGCGGAAATCATTTATATTGAAATCACAGAAACGACAAGAAATCAATTTCAATATCTTAAGATAATAAATTTAGAATCTTTAAATTTCTAATGCGCATTTGTGAAACTATTTATATCTACGTTTTTATTTCTTCTCTCTCGTGACTTTTTATGCTTGCATCTAGAGAAGCAGCTATTATGTCACGACGCGACGTAATATGAATTGATTGAAATAAAACGATATTTTGTGTCTTATTTATAAGATAGAACTTTATTTAAGACAAAGATGTACACTTAAGAGTTAGTCGCCATGCTTGAACCGAGATGTTATTTACAAATGACAAACAAGGTATGAATTTTTTAGATTTTCGAAATGGATCTCTATCTTGTTTAAAAAAAGGATGAAATTATTCTTTCAAAATAAGGAATAGCGGAAATTTTGAGAATAAAGATTTTGATAAGAAGGAAATGAGGTTTTGACAATTGGATAGTGAGATCGATAGATATAAACAAAAGTTTCATAAGATTGTGATTCATTTATGATGTAGAATTAGGAAGTGTTTGCGTTTATACTGTTTAAAAAAGACTTAAAAACACATATAAGTTTCAGAACTTGAGACAAAAGATTGCAGCACATAATAAATCTCTTAAGAACGAGAAATCAAAAAGCAAACTAAGGCTGATAGATTGCTGTGAATTAGAAAATCACTTTTCGCGAAGGAATAAAATAATATTTGCATTATAATGTACCAAGTAATATTGAAATATTTGTTGCGACAAATCGATGTAGCAAGTGAAATATTTGATGCGACTGCGGAAGCACGTGAGAAGTTGGTTAATGAGATACCATTTACTATGATTATTCCTTCTATCTTGGATATTCTCTCCGCGTGCTCGCCAACATTTATGAGAAATTCTGTTGGTACTGCCTTATGCAAGGTTTTATGCCTTATTTCCATTAAACATATACATATATATGCATATATAAACACAATTTATTTATTTATGACATATTTGATACAATTATTTGTTTTAATTTCTTCCCATCAAAGATTTTGAATACAGAAATAATTTCTTGCGTTTGATGTATGTGTTTGATGTATATATATTTTAATGATATATCGGTATTATACTGATATCACTGTTACAGTGTTTATATAATATTCTTGCAATATATGTTTATATAAAAGTAACGAGGTTATTTTTAAATATATACAAAAATACTTTTTAATATCTTTTTAATATCAACTTCACATCTTGTTTGCTGCATATAATTAATTTTAGTTTGTTATTATTTAAATTCTTATAACAAATATTATTTTAATTATATTATACATTTGGCTTATCAGCAAAAAAATTTTGTTATAAAATAACTCTACATAAATTAGTCAAATTTGCAAATTTATATTTTGATATGAAGAGTGTTATAATGACCAAATAAAATCAAAACGAGATATTTCGCTGCAAAGCAACATTATATAAATTAGTCAAATTTTTGAATTTATACATTCTATTATACATACATATGAATTCTTAAATTTACACATACTTCTATAAGTATATTGAAAACGAGAGAGAGTTATTAATGGACATGTATGTCCTATGAAAAATTTATATTTTATGGTACATTCCATTTCCATTCCTCTTCTAATAGTCGAGTCATCACTGAATCGTCGATAATGCATGAAATTATTATTTATTCACGTATAGTCCCCATGAGTTTCCGTGCGCGCGCACCGTAAATGTTACATCTCGCAGCGACTATTACGAAGCAATAAATGGTACCTTGATCACCCAGTAAATTATGTTTGCAATGTCCCTAACAGTATCATAATTAACGTTATGCCAATTTACACGTAAACAATTATTACCACGATATCATATAATGTTCATAATCTGTATGTGCACGTGTGCATGTGTGTGCTTCGCAATGCATGTGTACCTTTTCGCGGAGATGCATCAAATATTACACTGCACAAATATTACAATGCTGACATATGTAGTATAATGCGCGACGCTTATATATAATAATAATCCTCAATTTCCATGAAGTCCAATGTGATTTGGCCCAGGTTGATTCTCGCCAAACGTGTTTTCACTTTCTTGTGTCCTTTTTAAAATTCCTCGTATACGCCAGTCCTATTTTTAGATGTGCCCCAAAAAGAGAAATGAGATTGCCCTTTATCTTCGTATTAGTCACAGGTAGTCGGCATTCCACCTATTCGTGCATTATGCTTTGCGATCTATCGTCCTTGAGCTCTGCGAACAATAGAAAGATTTTATATCTCAGAATTATTATACTATTAATATTTGCTAATTTTTACAAATAATATACAACTTTGTAATTATTCTTAAATATATATATGATTAATAGCTATATATAATATAATATAATATTATATAATATAATATATATGTATATATATATATATATATATATATATATATATATATGATTAATAAGTTTTTAATAGATTTTTTTGCATTAAAAATAACATTTTATATTAAAAGAGAATATTAAACAGTTTCCTTAGTCTTTTTATAATGATATTTCTAATTTGAATAAATCTAAATATATATAACTGTCTAAAGGTCTCGATTAATGAATGTTTAAATATAAAATAATACGGCTTTGTTGTTTATTTTATTTGAAGAAATTAAAAACAATATATGTAGATTTAAAAAAAAAATTTCTTAATATGCCTGATTATATTTTTTACTGATGATTAATTATATTAAAAATAACTAGAAATCATTAAAAATTTCTCAAAATTTAAAAATTTCTTTTTATACGCGTTTTTTTTATTACTTGCGAGAGCATATAGCGTGGTGAAATTTATGCTTCTTGATAAAAAGTATCCAGCAATAGTACGCTATCACATACTATTCATTATCATATATTACTAATGAGGATACGACATAAAATAATTATTCGTAAGATTATGATAAAAGTGATAAAGTAAGACAGAAATGCATTAAGAATATCGCATTATTATTACGAGAAAATTTAAACAACTATGTTTGTTAATTTTGCATATCATAACTGGTGAAAATATATCCTCATGTTAATTGTGGCTTAATTACAACGCATGTTGCATATAATAAATATTACATAGAATAAAAAAATGACAAAATTTGTGAATTTTTAAACAATTATATTATTACACATATAAAACGTACACACAACACAATGAGATTTACATATTACGTATTAAGCATATAATTACTGTTGTAGTTAAATTTTATATTCCGACGATTTAATTATTCATGAAAGCGCTTTGCCTTGACACTGAAAGTTTTCATAAGACATATATGATAGTTTTGTTACATTTTCTGAAGACAAATATGATGTCATTTCATCACATCTTTTTTAAAGCAAAGTATTTAATATGTATATAAATTGCAGGTTTATATAAATGCTAAATCATCAAAGCATCATCGGAAATCTGTTATTACCATATTTTTTAGTCAATCAAGAGGTCAGCTGATCGACCTCGTCGTTAGCATATATCATTCGTGACTGTTTGATAAAAAAATCAAGTTACCACTCTTTATAGTATTATATATAAAGCAAATTTTTCCCTGGAAACTCGAGTTAAATAGATAAGTTTAAATTAAATGTTTGTATACTTTTAAGAAAGCAAAACGTGAAGAAAAAAGAAACGCATTATATATCTAATCATATATAAATATATAAAATTATATATAATTATATATGGACTTTTTTCCCAGTATTTCGATCTCTTTATTAGATTAAACGAAATGAATTGATATTGTAAACAGTACGACTGAGTATTCTGTACGAGATAGGAATGTAAAGTTCACCATTTTTCTCATGGGATTTTGTAATTTCTCGCACGATTCCGCACACGTATCGGAGTATGTTCCATTCCGAGATTCTTGACAATCTATATTTCTTTCTTCCTAGGAATAATAATTAAGTTATCATTGAAATTTTAGTATGTATATGTGTCTGTATATGTGTGTGTAGTTATCAAGAACAGACACAATAGTGTCGAAAATGTTTATAATTATATATTGCTTAAAATAATTAGTGAATTAGTCATTTAATAATCAATGAAATTAATTACGAGTGATTAAGATCAATTAAATTTTTACGTTATGGAAAAATAAATATTTTTCTCGGATGAGAAAAGTTATTAATTATTGATTAATTATATTTAAAAAAAGCTTTTTTCTTTTATATCTGTTTATATTTGTACTTTGCCCGACTACCTCGCGATTGATCGATCCATCAAGAAAACGATTCACGATCATGCGTTCACACGCTTGCTCACCGTCACGCATATGAGACAGTGTGTGGCATACTTCAAAGGTCCACGTGGTCGTGGATTACAGTAGTGGCAACAGTCGTCCCCCGACCGTTGTTCAAGTGTGTATGAACGTCGGCCGACATCTCCGCTGTGGCCAAGAGAAGAGTAGCTGAGAAAAACGCAAAACAAGAAAACAAACCGGGACAAGTTTCGCTTTCGTTCGTGGATCCGCATGACTTTCGCACGCTGACCGCAACAAGCAGTTCTGCTCTTCACCGGTGCATCCTTGCTGCGGAAGCGGTTTATCCTCCGGTTCACTATTTCGGACACGCAGAATGTACTCCGAAAAGGTTCGCGAACATTTCGAGGATCGCTGCTGATCGTGATTTACGCTGTGCGATCGTGATTTTTCGTATGACTTATTATGCATTAGTCTCATCGATCGACAGATTGATGAGAATAACTTACTTGTACATAAATACGCGCAGTGTGCTCGTTTAGTTTTTATACACGTATAAACATTACGTTTTGTATAGCTGTATGTGAAGACAAGGTGACCAATTGCTTCAAAGCCGTAAGTATGATATAAATCTCTTCTGGTTATATTTGTCAAGAGACAAAGAGAGGTGGAAAGAAAGAGAGAAATTCAAGATTTATGTATGAAATTGAAGAAAATTACCATCTTTGAAGGATATTTTGCAACCTTCAATTGATTTTAATTCTTTCTCAGTGATTATACAATACGTACGTATAACGACGCGGTTTAAAGAAACATGAAAAGCAAAGTTTTTTGTAAAAATAAAAGAAAAGAAGTATAATATATATCTAAGTATTCTATTTTTAAATTTAGGTATATATCAAATATAAAACGAAATGATAGAGAAATGATAAAAAATAGAATTCAGAAGTAATTTTTTAATTATATGAAATTATAAACTTGTTACTTTAAACGAAATTTTACTTTAAACTTTATTTTAATATAAAGAAAATTAATTTTCGTAATATTTATTTACATAAGATTTATTATTTATGTTTTACATGTACACTTTTATAGTACATATAAAATATATTTAACAAAAGACACAAACTTGCGCAAAGTATCTTACAATTTATTTTTTTTTATTATGTAATTAAAAGTCTATATTATAATTTTATTTAAACAAATTAATCTAGAAATTCTCGAAAATATATTTTTGTTTCCTGTCACTTAATTTTTTTATTTAAATCTTTAAGTTACATGAAAATTGACATGATAAATAAATATGTTTAATTTGTACCTCATGCTTGTTTTGAATTATATTTGTCGGAAAATTAAAATAAAAATTAAAATAGAAATAATTATTATCTTCAAAAAATATCTCACATTATACATTTGATGTAAATCTAGATTTCGAAATACTAAAAATAGAGATTAAAATTTACATCTTTACATTATATCATCAAGGTAAACGAGAAAGTATTGCTTAAATATTTATCGAATAATCAATTACGCAAATAAGCGTAAAAGAGCATCTTCAAAGAGAATCTTACGATTTAACCTTCTGCTATCAATGATACGTTCTTGATCTTTTAGACATCATTATGGAGAACGTGCTTCGCGCGATATTTGCACGCTTTATCCTCCATGCTTTTTAAAAATTCGTAAAACGTCGTAATCATCGAATTCGCACGAGAATGTTTATACGAATTCGCTCTTCTTAAATGGTTTCGAAAAACGAAAGAAGAACTTGTGAAAGAACGCGAGAGGAACTTATGGAAAAACGGAAGTAAACTTTACGGCGAGTTGTTATGCGTCTAAATTTTTCTGCTCCATTGCGTTCCTTCGAGGAGGCTCTAGAAATAATCGAAACCTGTTTGATCAACTATTGCTGTTAACGATCATTTGACATTGAGAATAATAAGGATACTATCTTTTCTTATTTCTACATAGTTATTTTAAATGATTGCACGCAACCCTGAACTTTTTTTTCTAGATAAAGGCTTTAGTTATTTTACATATTGCGTATACACACACGATTTAAGAGTTAAGACAGAGTTCAAACATCGTATCTATCAAACATGAGAATGCGATAGCGATCAATGAAAATTAATGATAAGACAATGATCTCTTTTTCGCATTTCATGGCTCATCAGTTTCGAGATTGACTCGAGTTGGTTCTATATTAATATTTCATCCGGATTAGTCTTTTATCTTTTAATATGATTTATCATCTTTATGCTACATGCATTGGCATGTTTGTAAAACATTTGTGTCTTTTGTTCTTTTTTTCTTTTAATTTCCTCATTTACAATTCCGTTTATCGTAATAATTATGATCAATCTTTTATTCTTTCAAGAGATACTTTTCTAGCTATTAAAAGAGCGTTCTGTTTTATATATCGAATGCAATGTGTCATATTTTATATAACTTTATCCGCAGCCCTGAACTTATTTCTATCTCTCTTGTAAAATAACCGACTGTGACATTTATGAGGAAGAACTGCGGTCTAATACTCTAATAACATCTCTTGTTATTCTTATGAATGTCTATTTCAATCATATATATTAGACTTATTAACATTTTTTTTTTGCTTAATCATTATAACCAACAGTCAAGAGTCAAAGAAGAAGAAAACAAATAAAATTATATTCATTATTCTTTGACTATTGAATATTTTATTATTAATTATTTAATAATAAAATATTCAATAGTCAAGTTTTCTTCTTTTTTGACTCTTGACTGTTGGTTATAAAAAAAATACAGACTTGTTATATATACTTTTTTTCAGAAATCTGTTATTTTCAATCATAAAATCATCATTTTCAGTCATAAAGTTTTTATCTTATATAAGATTAAACCGTTGGAGTTTAATCCACCTATCGGTAATTCTAAGTCTTATTAGAAATCTTTTATGCATTGTATAACTTTATGACTTTATTGATTTGACGTAATTTGAATAAAGTATCATTAAAATTTACATAAAAATATAAATATGCAATGTTAATATTGTTTAGTTTTCATAAATTACATCTGATCATTATACACATATTAATGTAAGAATTTAGTTTATATAATCTATTTCACAATGCATTAATGATATAAATATTTATATTCAATTATTTTATATTCAAATATTTTTATTCAATTTATTCTCGTTCTGTTTCGCTAAAATAATTTTTCCAAAGATCTCCCATGCAATCACATTTCAACATTAAGATTAATCGCATGTTTTAATCATTCATAATGAGAAAGATTCAGCGCACTTAGTTACGATTGTCTCTCGATACTTGATGTCAGAAAACCTTGAACTTCGAACTCGCTTGACCTCGAGATGTTTTTGCGCAGAAAATAAAAATAAGTAATTCGTGCATGTATTCATATGTGTAACACTTACGCAAGATAATAATCCAGCAAGATAAAATTTGGAGCGATTTTTTTCGAATTAATTCTACTTTTCAATGTTGAATATTTTATTTTTGAACAATATATTTTATTCGATTTTGAAAAGTTTTCTCTAATAATATGCTAATATTTATTATTTCAATATGAATAAATATATAATACATGATGCAAAATATTCCGTCGATGTATCGGTAACAAATATATGGAAGGACGCTTACAAAACATACATACAACATCGTTTTATAGTTGCATTGTCGCGGTTACATTGTCGCAACGATGGTCACTGCCGTGTATAATAATTACGTGCCAACGACACTAGGTATATTCGGATTGCATGCCGCGTGTCGGGCATATTAATAATCAGATCGCGGATTTTCACCTGGAAACGAAACGACGTGTCGCACGCTTGATGAATCTCATTGCTACGATCGTTCTCACTCTCGTTTCATTTCACAGGAAAATTAACTGTAAATTATAATAGCGCGTAATTAAATGGACATATCCTGTTTTGTTCTCTATGCAATAAAGTCTCGTTACTATTGGTCAGAGTTATTTTATTTTATAGATTGTACAACTGACACATATTTCACATAATGGATGGCATGCGCGCAGTAGTGAAGTAATTATTTCTCGTCAGCGAATTAATTGGCGAATTGAAAAAAATTGCGATCTTTCCGTTTTTAATTGATTGTATCGCATGCGGTAGCGATACGTTTTAATCGTCGTTCACGAGAAAATGAAAATTATTTATAACATAAATCTATTTGTATTGTGTACAGAAGAGCGTAATGAAATCAACACGTAGCGAATGTGGGGATTGTTACGAAATGATTCACATTTATTCGAGCATTGACTCGCATAACCGCACACGGATTCAGTGAAAGTGTACGTTGTTCGCAGGGTGTTAATTAATAAACGAAGCTCTAGACCGGAATGCCTCTTTTTTGCTCGATTTTCTTCACAGCAAGAAGTTCGCTCGTATCGACAATATAAATGGCAATAACCAGCTCGTATTTCATGGTCATTGAATAAAATATAGGAAGGAAGCTACTATATCTGATGATTATATTGACGATTATATCATTTTACAACTAGCAACACAACTATGAACAAGATAAAGAGAAAAAAATAGATGTCAAAGAAAAAAACTCCATAATAAATCGTTTATAAATTATATAATGACTTATGTATAAATTAATTATATAATTATTTTTAAATTATATAATTTATATAACAAATTTATATAACAAATCGTTAATATATAAATAATATATAAATTAATATCTAAATTATCTATATAGTTATACAATACTTACATGCTATATTTTTATGTAAGCGTGTCAAATATAATATATTATAAATATTCTCGATATTCTTCAATCAACTTAGATAAACTTGATCAGATTTTAAAAATTCTTTAAGCATGTATTCTGTTGTATCACAAGAGACTGCATTTTCTCATTTTTATGTAGATAAGATTTTATTTTTGTAACAAAGAACACGTTTTGAGAAAAGCTTTGGAAGGAAATGTATATTTCCTGGAATATATCATACAACGCATATGATTTTCTTACGCTTGCTTATCTTTCTGATTATTTAGTCACTAAAATCTCAACGATACTATTGAGCTTTATTGCACAAGATATTCCTCAAATATTTGTCTTCCATTAACACAAAAATATTATGTATTCGCGTGCATAGAGTGTTCGTTAAATCGAAGTACAATCATCAGGAAAGTGATTATTTGTGAAAGACAATTAGGAAATTCAGGATAAATGTTTTTTGATTGACTACTATAATAATTATCAAAAAAGATAATTTTAAATACAAATATAACATATGTGTGTATGTGTGTGTGTACGCGCATATGTATTTTTCCTCTTCTCTTTCTTCTGAGAAATCATTTTTTCGCCGATTGTATTAGAAATATACTGGATTTATGCGCGGATGTAAATTGCGTTGCAAAATATTTAAGATGACACATGTCTGTATTTTTTGTGTATGGCCAATCGTATTACGACTATGTAGTTCTTCGTAAATGTAGTCGCGTCAATATATGATTACGTTAATCATATACTACGCCACAAAATTTCCACATCAATAATTACTAAGAATCTTTGTCTCATGAGAGATTCGGGTAATTGTATACGAATGACCGGTCGTCATACGTCTCCGAACGCTGATTAATTTAAAGGTCATACGATTAAAAACGAAGAAATAACTGCAACAATTTTCTTAAACCAAATTCCCCTCATTTTTTCATAATTTTTAATTCTGTTAAAGTTATTCAAGTAATTTACGTCAAATTATTTCAACAATACACTTATTTTAGTTTAATTATGTAATAAGAAATTTTCGTAAAAAAATACTTGTAATTTCTTCTTGTTCAATACAAAAATATTTTTTTAGTTAAAATGCATTTTGTGAAATTGCGTTTTGTATTATTATTAATATATTTTCACTAATTTCGCATCAGATTATTTTGCATCATTCGTTTATAAATTGAAATTAGATGCATTCAATAACTGGAAATAAATGATTCTCTTTTATGCACGATACTTTGTAATTTCTTCCCGGAAGGAGAGTGATGTAGAGACGAGGACATTTATATTTTTCTGATATGCACTTTATCCTTGCACGAGAAGTTCACTGCTCCATATCTCTATAACGCATCCTGTCGTCGATGCAGCACGCGACAGGACAGTACACGTTTCCGGTTGCAACTGCATTGACGGATATGTAAATTAGTCACGCTGTTTATGGGCTTGCTTTGAAGCTCGCAGTACATTTTCAATATTGAAAGATAAGTTTGTATCTTATTTCCGCGAATTCATAATGTATTCTTTTTGCGAAATAACGTAATAATTTACATCAATCTCGAATTTTAGTTGATAAATTGATATTAAAATATATGAAATAGAGCATTTGAAATTATTATTTTTATTTACACCAATATTATTATAAAATATTATTTGTAAAAAGAATCAATAAAATTAAAGTTGCATAGTTTTAACGGAAACATAAAATGGATTAAAAAAATTAGTTTAGGGAGTCAACATATTTTTAGATCTCAATTGTTTTCTAATATTAACTTTATTTATTATTCATTGTTGTTTTATTCAGATTGTTTTTTATGAGAGAAACTTTCAACTTTTTGAAATCATTTAATAACATTGTTAACAATATAATGACATAGATAATTTCTAGGAAGGAGAAAATCTCTCTTTGGATAAAAATATTAGCCGTATTTTGGCATTTTCGAAATGTTTGAAATAGATTGATATTATGTTTACTTTCTCTTTGTTTGTCTATTTTCAAGTGATAACGTGAACTAAATAATTGGATGATATGACATAGATAAATGTTTAATAGATTTTAAACGTCAAAGAAAAATGATACATCAGTTAATTACATTTCATATAATACATAATAGCATCGAAATCGCTTCTTATTATTACACTGCATATGTGAGCAAAGCTTACATTAATGAAAAAGTGATAACTTCTTCTTTATGTTATTTTGTTTTCTCTGCAAACAATCACTAACGTTCATATGCATTCAAAAAGATAAATTATAATGTATATTATATTAATTATAATTTTATTATAAAAAACATATGTTTGTATTTGAAAAATCAAACATTATCTTCAAATTTCCGAGATATTTTGAAAGATTTCATTTAATCCATTTTACTTTAAAATTGCTATTTTAATTTAACATTTTTTATTAGCTATAATAATTCACGTAAAAAAATCAAGATGACAATTTTATTTATAGATATTCCTGTATATTTTCTCACAACTATTTTGCAATAATATTTAGGGTTCTTCTTGAAAGATTCATATTATTTCGTAAGCGTCGAATATGACAATGAGTCAAATTTGGCAAATAGATTAATCAAATTCAGATCGTGCGTCAGAGAGGACGATCAGTAGAGCGAATCTCCGACACGAAACAATCAATTTATAAGTCTTTATTAATATATTCAAATATCACATTCTTCTCAAAGTATATATTCAAGCGTGATGTGACATTTTACTGATGACTGTTTAAAGAATGCGGTGGTTCTAAAATTGTGATTTTGCAATATAAATATACAACATTTATTTTAATATGAGAAAATAATAAAAAATAGAATACAAAGAATATGAGAAAAGAAATATATAACTAATATATATATATATATATATATATATATATATAATTAATATCGTGATATAAAAAGTAAGAACGTATAACAGAGCGTGATGGGCGTAAAAAATAATTTTTGTTGCTGGTAAAGACAGAGTGCAGATACATATTAAAACAGTAGTTATCTTATTTTTTAAATATTTAAATAATTTTATATTTTAATGTTGTTTTAATGTTTTATGATATTATTTGAATAGAAAAAAAGAGAAAGAAATTTTGTAGATAAAATCATAAGATGATCAGCTATTAATAAATCTTTTTTTTTCATTTGTAATAAAATGATGTTTGAAATATTCATTTCGCGATGCATTAAGATGTGATACGTATTAAAATGTAAATATAATATGTGATGAAAGTGCATTCGCCGGTACTATTCGCATAATTATATCGCTATAGGCTAACAATAAGACGGTAAACGCAATTCACCGTTACGGTGAGAAATTTTTAGTTTGTTTCTTTATACCGCGATAAAATTTTCTGATAGTGAATTCAACCATTCACTGCCAGCATTTTTCCGAGTGCACTTGGTTCAAGTAGATTCCACACATTTCGAGTACTCTAGACAGAAAAGTATACGACGTAGTTGCACGCGAGCTCGCAAAACTTTTCATTGTGTTGCACAAGATTTTCGGTATAGTTTTTTAGGTGAAATCTTAGCTCGCTAGCGTCTGCTCTAAGCATCATTGGGTTGTAGCAGTTCTAAATGATAATGTTTATAACATTATTTCTTAATTTCTGTAACATAATGATGAGAGAAATTATATAAATTTAAATTTGAAATTTATGTCAATTATACTTGATTTTTAATTAATGTATAGAAGTTTATATACATATATATATATATGTATATAAACTTCTATATAAAACTTCTATATAAAAAGAAACAAGATAACAGAAATAATATACATGATAAAATATTCACGAACAATATTAATATATATGTTAATGTTGTAGTTTAATATAAATTATAAATTTAAATTTGAAATTTATGTCAATTATACTTGATTTTTAATTAATATATAGAAGTTTATATATATATTAATTAAAAATCAAGTATAATTGACATAAATTTCAAATTTAAATTTATAATTTATATTAAACTACAACATTAACATATATATTAATATTGTTCGTGAATATTTTATCATGTATATTATTTCTGTTATCTCGTTTCTTTTTATTTCTACACTTGCTGTCGCATCCGATGCTTGCAAAAGTAAAGAATATAATAATAGATGTAATAATAGGATTTAATTGATGTATTATTATGCGTAGATAAAATCAATAACAAATATGTTTCTTGGTTTCTGTTCGGTCTATCAATGTGTATACCAACCTCGTGTATACCAACAGACAGTAGTTTGTAAGGTCATCGAGATAAAACATAAGGTAGTCCTATCTTGACAGTCGCGTGTACAGGATGATTTATTATTATTAAGCAGTACATTTATAAAGACACAAATTTAAAATTTTTGAAAGAATATAAAAGCAAACGCTTTATAAAAGCAAACGCTCTCTAAGAAAGGTAAAAAGAGATAATATTTTATCGAACATTATTGCAAATATTATTTTTTTAATTTAATAATTATTTTTCGAAATAATGTGTCGTGTTACAGGTTCTCCTCTCTATAAAAAATGAAGATCGATCAGCTTGGGCTTCTTCTTTGGAAGAATTATATCGTTCGGAAGCGACAACCAGTAAGTAGTCGACTTAATGTCGAGATATCTGCTTCATATTTATTCTACGGAATTGTAAATCGCACAATTTTCTTTCAGGGAATTTTAGCCTTGATATTTCTATGGCCGGTAGTAGTTTTTATGATTCTTTATACGGTGCGTGATAATGTCGATCCGGAATATTACCCGACATGTCAATTTCCCGCAAGGTCGATGCCACAGGATGGACTTCTGCCTTTCGTGCAGAATTATATATGTAGCGTTGGAAGTCCCTGCGATCCGTTGTCGGAATACGAGCAAGTGCCATCGTACAAAAATGCCACGTTAGTCTCAATTTAATTAATTAATTAAGCATGTAAATGATAATTATTACATCTTCGAAAAAATCCGAAAAAAACTTGAATCTTCTCTTATCTCTTTTTTACGAATACAGTTTAAGTCCTTTAATCGTGGAACTACAACCGATGCTAAATAATAAGACTATTATCTCCGCTGTGGAAACATTGCCACAGAGTATTCAATTGTTGAAATCAATGGCAGAGATTCTCACCAAACCGGAAATCAAGGCGCTTTTCGGTAAGATCACATTGAAATCTAATTTAACGTTTTCTGTCAACAATCGAATGTATAAATATGTTAATAGATAGGGGAATCCGTTTGGGTGACTTGTTCAACAATCACGGGGAAATTAAGAATTTACTAAAATCTCAAATGCCGAACGCCAGAGAGGGTTTGATTGATGGTTTATTCGAATCATCCGTAAAATTAATATATGTAAGTAATTACTCCTATATTTAAACAGAGATTATTATTAATTGTTATTAATTACGCTGAAATTTATCTAAATACCAACAGACAGTAGTTTGTAAGGTCATCGAGATAAAACATAAGGTAGTCCTATCTTGACAGTCGCGTGTACAGGATGATTTATTATTATTAAGCAGTACATTTATAAAGACATTTATAAAGACACAAATTTAAAATTTTTAAAAGAATATAAAAGCAAACGCTTTAATTATCTAATTACTTCTCTTTTTCCAATCTTATACAAATATTATATCAAAAAGTACACATTATTTTTATACGATATTGCGATGAATAAAAAAAGGTGTCTTTATTAATTCTTACATATTTATTAATTTTTATCTACAGTTGATCAAAACTTTCGGTTCATTCGACATCGATGGCGTCGTTTGCTCCGCGGAAAGTCTGAAGAAATATTTGATTCTACCTAAAGAAGAGGACTTTGCAGAGATTTCGAACGTCCTCTGCAACATCGACTCGAAAGCGATGCCTGACATTTTAGAAAATCTTTCGAAGCATCTGGACTTTACCGGTTTGTTGGAGATGGTCGATCGCGCAATGGCGAAATTTCGCGATTATAATTTCTTCCAGGATTTGAAGCGAGCGGTAGAAACCATCCTTGACTTGAAGATTTCCAAGAAATATATGCCCGAGTACTTGAAACTCCGTGAATGGCTACCAAAAGTAATTTTGGTCTTCCAAAACACTACTTTCAAAGAAATCGACCTGAACATGTGAGTTGGACATGCATTTTCTATTTAAAATCCAATTTTTTTTAAATTTTAATTCAATATCTCGAAACCATGAATATCCGGAGGAATATAAATGCCTTAATTTCAGAATTAATAAAGCCATCGCGGTTTTGGATCCTGTATTTGCATACGAACGTGATTGGCCAGTCGCCCGAAGTGGATTTCTGAAATTAAACAGACTTCTAAAGATGGTGAAAGAAATTGTGAAGGACCGCAAGCTCAATTCCACCAACGCTGATGATTTCTTCGATGTGATGGACCGATTAGGAGCAGCAATATCAACTTTTTCCTCCAATTCAGATAATTATGATAATATCACGCAGATATTGGATTTGTCTTTTCTGATCTTGGAAGATGGTATAAGACTTACCAAGAAAATCCTTGATCGTCATGAAAATGATTTTGAATTGCAAGTATTTTCTTCTTTTATATAAGATAAATTAATAATATTTACAAGTGAATTAATAATATTTAATTGTTTATATTTAATCTTTTATTTAATTTTTAGAGCTGCTAACGTTTTCGATGGACTCAAAAACTTTTTTTCCGAAAACATAGTAAATTCAGCGACATATTTTGTGTCATTGATAGATAATATCGTGCAAATGTCTCATCATGTCGCTATTCTTCACGAAGATACCTTGAGAAGATTATATGAGGTTTCCAGAAAGCATCAGAATTTAGTCCAAAAGATGTTGATAAATTTACAGCCCGCTATATATAAAAGGATTATTCACTCCTTTTCACGATTGGATCTTGTAGAGGTTTGCAATATTTATTTATTATATGTTTCAGAATTGATATTTTTTAGCTATAAAAATTTTTTAAGAGAAAAGGAAATATAGTTCTTGCTTTATTTTTTATTTTGTGATCTAACAACAAGTTCAATCGTTAAAAATGTAATTTTTCTTATAGCGTCTGGTGGAAGATGTAAAAAAAACAAAACCTCAGGAAGTATTTTGTCAAAAAGACACAATGAATGAGATATTCGATAATTACGTTGAATTTAAAGATAAATCCAATGAAATTGATGAATTATTCTGCAGCGATGACGGAAAAAAATTTATTACCGATGTCTATGATAGTTTCGAATTTGACACATTTGAAAATATTGTACGTACATAGCAATTGATTGTAGTAAAATAGTAATAATAATTCTATAATAAGCAGAGTATATTTTTCAGATAAGTAAAACTTTATCGACTATGGTTGTTATGGCGTTCAAACGACCAGTCAGGGCCGAAAGTTCAAACTTAACGTCCGTTGTGAGGAATATAAAAAAATTCGTAACTTATCTGGATACGCGAAAGGTAACTTACTTAAATTGGACTATTTTTCAAACAAGTGATGAATGGGCAAAAGCTTTCAAAGAGACGCAACCTCAAGGAAGATTGGATATGTGAGTAATTATATGCATATTTATTTATTTATTTATTTATTTATTTATTTATTTGTTTATAATATATAATAATTTTATATATTAACATGCAGTATTTTTCTTTAGCCTAGGAATTCATCTAAGCATAGCGAAAATGCTGGGTTTCAGCAGTTTATCTTACATATCAATCAAACCAGATCTAGAAAATATGGACCTTTTAGCCGAAATAATTCTGGAAGATCTACGAACTAATCCTACTAGCTGGATCGAGGAGGTACGCCGTCATCAAACCGAGTTGATCGAATCGTTTTATCTCACCGTCACAGATAAGGAAAAGGTCAGTTGGCGAAACGTAATTAAAGTTTTCTTTAATCTTAAGATCTTTTGCATAATATAATCATCAATTATAAATTCTGTAGATTTTGTCGTCTCAATGCGATCTTCGTTAAATAGACATTACAGATCTTGGAATATTCGAATTTCACGAGAGCGTATTGCACGGATCCAAATCCGCCGGCTTTGTTAAATTTTCCTAAGGAATCGAATAGCACGATTCTGAAGGAGCTGGTGTGCTATCTATCCAAATCGGTGCAAACGAATCTGGAATTGAACGTGACCAACATCGAAATCGAGGAAGCCACGTACAAGCGAAAGGAATTTAATTGGACTGCCTTCAACGAGAAGACAATCAAGATTTACCAGTACATCGATACTCTGGTCCAGCAAAAGGTTCAGCGTTATGAATTGAAGAAATTGGAAAAATTGAAGCAGAACTTCAAAATTGCATGGACAACGAATACAACAGCGAAAGACACATGGGAGATCAGGTAAGAAATATTTTCTTCTATTCTTTCATTTAGCAGGATTTAACTTCTAGAATTGATCGTCATCAATATGTTATAAAATTTGATTATAATAAATAAATTAGTGACACGTTATATATGTTTGCAGCGTAGGTTTAATCTGCAAGCTCTTTAACATAATGGAGAGTCCACTATTTGGAATTCAGATCAAAGAAAATTGGAAAATTATTTACGGGTTCGGGTGGGCGACCTCGGTCATTTTCGACAACATCGAGAAAATTGTCGATCAGATCCAGAAGAATAATCACGTAGCGAAGATTTCCGATGTTTTGGAGGAAATGCCGCAGACTGAGACACTTATCAGTTCGTTCTTGAGGAATTTATCTCCGATCATCCTTGATATAGTTGACATGATAACTTTGAGACCAATTGCTCTAGTAAGTCGATTTTTGCAGATATGTGTATTTCATTTATTCTGAATACAATAACATTAATAAATAAGATATATTCTGACTCTAATATATATCTTGGCTATTAGATGTCGGTTCTTGATGATTATAAAGACCGTGAACGAATGTGGCCTTGCATTATGAACGAGAGCGTTGGCGTTGCATTAGAATTGAGAAATGGAAGTCGGGAAGTTGTACGACAGATTGAAAACATCGGCTGTAGCCCAAGTCTTTTTATTAAAGAGTGGAGAGAACAACCAATATTAATGAGGATCCGGAAAATTGTAAGTTTATTTATATTTTTATTTATTTTACTTATATTTTTACTTATTTTTTTATTAATTCAATATTTTGTCCTAATTTTAAGGATAAAAAATTTTATAAATTTCAAATTAATAAATTATGATAGAAATTATTAATTATATTGAATTTTTGTGTAATTTTTAGTTCGAGCATGACAAAACTGTAGATTTACCGGCATTTAATTGGACTCTGGGCTATATAAAATTTCGACGATTGATTACAAAGCTTGATGATTTGATAAGCAATGCTAAAGATGTCGTTTTAGCGGACGAACCGAAATTAGCCAGGTATTTAAACACACTTGCGGACGAAGCGGACAATATTGTCGAACAAAGATTGCCAAGTATGAAAAGTGATTGGAGGTAAAAATTATATTTCATATTACATAATAAAATAAAATAGTCATTTAGTCTAATAAAAGAGTATTGTATTTAACTTATACATTTTTATTCCAATTTCGGAAGAAAATTTTAATTCTACTTTTAATATTTAATTGTATAAAATATCTCTCATTTCTTCTTTATATTTGGAATTATGGATATATTTTAATTATGGAACAACATTAATTTTTGTTGAAGAAATACCTTGGATCATATCGACTTAGAAATCGACAAGGCGATCAAAGCTTTTGGTAGCGAGCGTTCTGCAAGTGAAATTTGGAAACCATCGATTGACGCTACTGATCGTATTCTTATTTTATTGAAATATCTTTCTAATATCATCCACAAAGGTTCACGTATCGTGACGAACATATTGAATAGTGGTAAATGTATTTTCGAATAATATTAACATTATTATTATAACATTAACTCGATATGCCTGATCCTTTGAAATTTGATATAGCTAAATAATTAATTGTATAATCTTTGGTTTAATATTTTTTTCTAGGCGTAGGAAAAATCAGTTTATTATCCTTGCTAGGATTCGATAATACTTCGCCTATCAGCATTTTTCACGATCAGCTACCTTACATTTTGTCGACATTGGTAAATGGAATATCTGATCCCGTAATCGACGATCAAATCGTCAAGGCGCTAAAAAATAACACTACAATCACATGCACAATGATGTTCGATTGGTTATCGGACATTAGAGTCGGTTTGACAGCCGAAGATTATAGAACCTTGAAAAATTTTACTTGTGATCTCGATCCTGAAAATTTCAATGTTTACATGGATTTCTATGTGGCGGAAATGACGATTTGGAAGAAGCCTGTTAGCAAATATCGATCCTACGTAGCTTCAATGATCGGCGATTTATACGATCTTCTGAAAAGCATCAATATCGCAATAAAAAACAAAATAGTCATCGAACCGCCCTTTTCGAAGAAATATTTGGATCATTTGTTGCAGACATTGAGGGAGACACTAGAGATCAGACATGAAGAAAGTACTTTTCACAAGGTAAATAGTTCATTAATAATTGTTATACGTAAAATTATATTTGACGAGTGGGAATTCCAACTTTAATCGAATACTCTTGAAGCGATAAGTAATTATCTTTTTTTCAGGAAGTGAATCTGGATGAAGGATGGTCGAATTATAGATTATTGATAGAAGGATTGTCGCAAGTTTTAATACACATTGGCAACGCTTTGAAGAAAGCCGAGATACATAATTATAATTTAGAGATCTGGAAACTGGCGGAGAATGATGATACGCGTCAAATGTTAAAGATTCTGGAAGATAATCCCGAAGAGACTATCGCCCTAATTGCTACTCTTAGCACGCTCAATTATACAACCGGTCAATTCATGTCCTTCAAAGATATCAGGAAGACTATGTGCACTTTCCACTTTAATTCTGATTATTGGTCCACGTCGGACAGAACGCGTTTTCTACAGAAAGTATGTTCGTTCGATCCCTATCAGCTATTGAAGACTGCCACGAGTGAGGAATATTACGTACGTACGCAAAAAATATATATATAATTAAAATAATTTTTTTTACCTGACTAAAAGTCATAAATAGAAATTATAAAATAGAGTTATTAAATATTTTTAATAATCTCAAATTAAGAGGAAAATTTTATTTTCACTAGTTAAACATTTAGGAAAGATATATTCAATTTTTGCCGTATTTTTTATATCTTTGCGTATTTTTTTCCGCAGAACGTTGTTACTGGTCGGACATTCACCCTTTCAAGATCAACGCCATTGGCCATGTCATTAATAAAATTATTGGACGATGTTTCGAATTTTACTGCTGCGCTGCCGGGAGTGAGTCTCAAATCGAACATCTTCAATGTAACGACGTGGCAGAATCTATCCAATGAAACCTGGAGTTTAATAATCAAATCTGAAAAGTCCTGGATTCACTACAACCAAAATTCTTCGTGGTACAGATTCAACGTGACGTCGAGCTATCTTGTCGATTCCAGCAGAATATTTCAGCTTCTGGAATCCGTGATCGATCTTGCGTCAGGCGGCGATATCTGGCAGAAACTTCGCGTTATACACGAGACATCGAAACTTGAGCCTCTGTTAACTCTCGTAGAGGACATGCCCAATCTCTTAATCACTGCCGTCGACACCTTCGTCTCGTCCGAAAGGCTGGACGATTTCATACACAAGTTCTTCCTCGGCCAAGTGCATCCCTGCAACGTTGATCGATACCTGATCCCGCCCAACTTTATAAGGAAGAAGGGTTTACTCTCTAGCATTGCAAATTTCTGTCAGAAGATCGTCATGAGCGATAAGCATTTGACATGGATAGATCTATTGCCTTCTGAGGGAAAATACAGTGTAATGTCCGATTGCCATTGATTAATGATAGCAATGAGTTTCGAATCAAATTTTAAGTACGCTTAAATTAATTTACAGAATAGCTACCTTACGTCTGATATATCTGAAACGACAAACGAAATACAGTTATTGCAAAGCGTGCAAGGATTTCAAACTACTTTAATTCACGTCTTATCAGAGGGCTTCAAGCAACTAAAAGTTCCTATTTGGTGGACCTCGTTCGAGGAAGGCTCTTTAAAAGATTTTAATGCGGAATATAAGAGAAAGGTATATATCATTATATTGATAATATATGTGTGTACATATATATTTATTTATTAAATGTTTCTTATAAATTAAATAATACATTAAATATAGTTTTATATAATTACTTTGAAAAAGATATACGCTTTAATTAATGTAATTAAAAACATCGATAGGACACGAAGACTCTGGCAGATTCAATAGTGAAGAAGGCGGTAAAGATCTTGAAAAATTTCCTAGAAACGCGAACTGATGTTAAGTAAGCAAATATATCATTAAAAAAATCGAGATTAATCTATTAAGAATGGAATAAAAATAAAAATAAAAATAATCTTTATGCTAATTTTTAGCAATTGCACGTGGTGTATGACACTTCCAATAGAAATCTTAAATTCCCAGCTGATGCACCACGCTCTCTATTCAAAATTATTCTGTCAAATGAATCGACTAAATATATCTGAAGTAGAAAAAATTTTAACCGATGATTTTAACTGGAATAAAACGAGCAGCATGGTGAGAAATAATAACTGCAAATTGTGTATAAGAGAGTGTATTGTTACATTAATCATTAATGTTATATTAATCATTATTTTTTTTTAAATTATTAGATCAAAGATTACAAATTTCTGAATAAGAGAAAAACGCTAAACGAGTTTTTAGCTACATTTGAAACTACTTTACATTATGTCGCCGATATAATAATCGAATTCCAAAATGATACATATCATGACACGGTAACCGACTGCTTTTACAAGTTTGTCGGCGGTCGTACGTATTCCCGACCAGGATTGTGAGTATCTTTTATTTTCTCATCGCGCATTACGCAGACGATAAATTAATTTTATTCATGATAAAATAATACGCCACTACATTTCAGATACATCTCACTTGTTTTGAGCGTCCTCGACATGTTGCAAAAGAACGTTTTTATTCTGGACTCGGCATCCGTTCACGAAAACATCAACAATTTAACTAGGCTGTCCGAGAAATATGTACCAATTTGGAAAACGTTGCGCGACGTCGTGAAGAAGTCTGATCTCGCTGAAATCGACGCTGCGTTACCAAACGCCACTATTAATATAAATGCGATGCTGAACGATCTGAATACGAGCTTGTGTCGGACAAAAATCGACTGTCAGAACGCGACGATTCTATACAATTTTCTGAGTTCAAAAAGAGCTGGCAAGGTTTTCCGATACGATCCGAGGGCGTCCAACTATCCGTCGGTATCCGATATTTCAAATCAGTTGGCTCGCAGTCTAGACATAGACCTCATAAATCGGCAACAGGCCTTCTGGCGTTCTCAGGCCTCCTGGGATCTTACCTGGCTCAAGGAGATCTTGGGTCATCTGTCCTTGATCCTCGGAGAAAGTGGAAATCTGCTGGACGTCGCTAGTAAAATAGATTTCGAGGACGTCTCTAACGTACTCGGAATTCCCGATCTCGCCGATGGCATAGTGAATATACTGAACGATAAAACGGTCGATAAACTGTTTGATGGGTACATATATTTCGATTATATCATATAAGATAGAGGATAAAATGTATAAATTGATAGAGGAATAAAGTTATATTCCTCGATAATAGATTAATTTTTGTCACAAAATTCATATTTATATTATTACAATTCATCTTAATAATTTATTGATGTAATTTGATACAATTCCTAAAAATTTAACATTACATTAAAAATACAGATGTATAAATATGTATATTTTTTTAGATTGAAAGAACTCCTAGAGGATGTAACGCCGTTTATAAACGATCGGGAAATAACCGACGATCTACATAGCATGATCACGGCATTGGAGTCAATGGAGATTTTCAAAAACTTAGGACTACTCGATATGAAATGTAAGAAATCATATTCAAATTCCGTGTCTTAGATCATGTTGTAATTTTTTTATTTCTAATAATTTACATTTTACAGATGTCGTCAGAGAAATGTTCGACAATTGGGACGTTGTGCGAATATTTTTGATCGACAAAATTGGCATAACTAACGAAATCGCGCTCACCTTAAGTCAGGCCAAAATAGATATGATCTCGATCTTCATGAAAGAACGCGGCGTCATTAGTTTGAAAGATAATATTTGTTCGCCTGAGAAACTTGGCGATATGTTGCTTCTCAATAATGATCTTGTAACTGCTGATGAAGTTAGCTCCGCGCTTTGCCAATTAGAGGATTCGCAGACGCAAAATATCGCTATCACGTTGATGAAGAATTTAAATTTCGATTATATTTTAAAAAACGTAATTATTATATATCGCACTTTAATCTTAAGAATTAAAAGAATTTTTGAAAAAACATTTTTCTTTATTTCAGTTAATGACCGCTAATGTAAAAAATATAATAGCTAACGCTAATCTAACTGAAACTGAAGGAAAAACTGTATTGGATAATCTTGGCATTGCTGCGGAACTATTTCCATTTTTTAAAGACCAATTATCGGGAAGCTTTTCCTTCGGAAATGACACAGACGAAAGTAATACGAAAGAAACGGAAGGAACGCAATCTGGTACGTTGAGCTAAAGTAGCATATTTAAACATTATGGTATTTAAATCGAATGAATTTTTGTATGAATCAATCAATTTTTCATTTTTTTTCATTAAGTTTTATACATATTTTAATATATTGTAGGTTCGCAATTCCTGAAGGATGCTAGTGAAATGCTTTGTGGTAAAACTATAATTCAAGACAACGAACAGATTTATAAAATTGTCACTTCTTTAGAAGACAGCAATAAGGCGTACGATCAAAAGGAATTCGATTCTTTACCAAGTAAGGCAATAAAGAAAAAAATTTTAGATAACAGATTTATTAAATAAAAATTATTGTTTTTAATACTAATAAATAATTCTTTTAATTGCAGATTTCTGCAAACAAACATATAAAACTGTACTCAGTATGCCTGGCGGAAAGATTGTCTGGTCGTACGTTAAGCCTCTATTACGCGGTCAGATTCTTTATGCGCCCGATACTATCGCGATTTCCGAAGTTATGACGTTGGCGAACGAAACTTTCGTGCAGATGGGACACTTCAGCGTACTGATGAATAGTTTAGAGAAGACTTTGAAGTCCTTGGCTAGTCTCTCGGAGATGGGCGATACTTTGAAAGACTTACAAAGTATAATGTCTTCTGATGTCATGAAGGTTGCTGTCAAATCGATGGGCGGTGGCAATTTTGAAGGTATTGATCATTTTTCAAACTTAAAACTTTATTTTCACTTTAATTTAAAAATGAAGTTAAATTAGGTGAAGTTTAATTTAAAGAACAAGCCCATGGTCTTTTTCTTATTTAGGTGATTTATCCGAGCTCGATCTCAGCGAGATTGTGTGGCGGTTGAAAAAATCAAAGAAATTGATTTCAATGATTGGCGCGTTGAACGACATGATGGGATGCGTGCTGGTAAACAGAACGATAGGATTTTCTTCGGAAGAGGAACTGGAAGCGGCAGCCAGTCGCTTGACCGAAACAAACGAGTTTCTTGCCGGAGTGATCTTTCTGGAAACTACTTCACATCGCGCAAAGAAATCTCTAGATTACGAATTACCGGATGATATTACTTATAAGATTCGCATGGATGTAGACTACGTGCCATCCACCAAACGATTGAAGAATCAGTTTTGGATTCCTGGACCTGAAAGCAATTTTCTCGAACATCTCAGATATCTTCGTGGTTTTATTCAACTGCAGGACTCCGTTGATCGCGCGATCGTAAAGGTAAAGGCTCGAAGGGATTTCAACTGGAAGACAGTCACGCAACAAATGCCATATCCGTGTTGGAAATACGTATCGTGAGTAACCGAACAAAATATCTCCATAACGTGAAATAATAAAAAATAAAAAAATGTCAAGAAAAAAGAATTTTTCTAAAAATTAAAATTCCATTATCTCTTTAATTAATATTTTTTTAATTATTTAATTTTTAATTGTCTCAAAAAATATATATAAATTTGACAGATTTCAAACAACGCTTTATGAGTCTCAAGGTATGCAAGTATGCTTCTTCTTTGCATTAATGATGTGTGTCGGATCAGCTGTCAGATATATTGTTTGGGAGAGAGAATCGCAAAATGCCATGGTACGGTATTAGTGCATATAATACTTAATTTTTTATCATGAAACGCTACACTCTATAATTCTATCGTGATTGAATTTTTCAGGTAATGAGCGTAATGGGATTGAAGCCATGGAGAAATACTCTGGCTTGGTTCATAACGTCTTTCGTGGAGTTATCGATCGTGATGATCTCCATTGCTCTGATTTTACTCGCGGGAAAAATCCTCCCACGATCAGATCCTTTCTTAATACTTATCTTACTTTTCGATTACATCTTTTCAATTGTTACTTTTTGGTAAGTAAATCAAATCTTCAAGGTTCTCTTTTTATTATAAAGTGATTGATAGATATTTGCATTACGATTGCATTTTTTACTTTACTATAAATCTTAAATGCATTTTAGCTACATGATCTCGACGATGTTTAGTTCTGCTAGTCTTTCAGCAGTTACCACGGTTGTCATGTTCCTGTTAACTTATATGCCATATGTTATCGTCATTGCCATGGAAGCTGTGTTCGGACTTGGATATAAACTTTTAATCGTGAGCAATGTTGAATTAAATTGCTTATAAAGTAGTTTTATAAAATAAAAATGAACAAATGTAAAAATATATTTTAGAAAAGAAAAATATATTTTAATTAAAAGTGATACGTTATAAGATTATACACTCTTAATAAACAATTTATTCTGTTGCCGAATGTTTTGAAATAATTTATTTTTCAGTGCTTAAGCATGTCTACTAGTTTCTGCTACGGATGTTTATATGCTGTACGAAAGGAAGTTCAAGGCGTCGGTCTTAAATGGGAACACGTATGGGAGGAATCGAGTCCTGGTGATCCGATGTCTTTGGGATTGGTATTGCTGATGATCGCGTTCGACGGTTGTTTGTACGGCGTGATTGGCTATCTCGTCGCTAGATACACTAATTCAGGTACATATTCGAAGTTCGTATATACTTTTGGAAATAAACTTCTGACATTTCTGGTGAAGGTGTAAAAGCGTGACTAGTAGAGAGATTAACTAATTAACTGACAAATTTTCTCCCAATTTTTTGTATAAGGCCGAGTGTGATTGATTCACAAATATAATTCTTTGGTATAAAATTGACTCTATTAACGAGAGAATTTTTTACAGAATTTTTAATCTTATCGGTGTAGGTGATATATCTAATTTTCTGTGTTTTAATGCCCCATTTTTATCACAAATTTCTCTCGTTGATAACAATTACTAAAATTGTCAGAGCCATGCGGCGAGATTTTTTTAGATAAATTATAGTGACATGTTGTGCCATGATTAAAACTGTTATAATTATGCAAATAATTTTTTAATAACTTTTTACTTATAATATAAAATTGTAAAAATATTATATATCGATTATTTTATATTTTAATATATTAGTTTACAATTATCTATTCTCAGAAGTAAAACATTTTACAAATATAACTATATAGTTATTTTCATTTAAAATAAAATTTTATAATACTACCAATAAATAAAATTCTGTTAAAAATTTTAATGCATCCTAATGAAAATTTTCTCTGCATGGCTGCCGCACAGAAAAATAATGATACAATCATGTGTATCATCTTGTATGCAATACTATCACATTCTCGTACACTTTGCACACGTACACTTCTCATGTCCCCATAAATACGAGATGCACCTGCAAGAAAAGTCCAGAAGATGATCCGATGTGACAAGAGTGCGTCGTTTAAGAGAAGTCGATCGGGATACGATCTGGTGAGTTATCTGCGAAATGGACGAGCATTACCGATTTTCCAGGCAGGGGCTTTCACGGTTTGAGGTGCCGTAGCTTATGGTGGTCCGGCACACGGTCTCTCTATGGCAGGCCGACTTACCTCGCCTTCGTCAACAACCTCTATTTCACTAACGACGTTCTCCATCCTTCAGCCACTTACCAAGGTATCGCACTCTCCTACGCGCGCATGCATGTCACGAAAGTTTGTTTTCGACTTGCTTTTCGCGCTCACATGTCGACAAGATCGCATATCGGCTGGCACAAGGGTAAAAGGAGAATGCTTATGATAGACGCGACGTAAACTGGGTTAAACTTCGTTTCCCCGAAGCACGGTCGCGTGGGAAATTATCGTTGAAAAATTTTCATGGCTACGGTGTGTATAATCATTTAAAACTTTGACGTTCTCATGAAAATTTTATCGTCTTTCATATTTTCAAAGACCTGCCGTTATTTGATTATCTATCGTCGTGAGGAAGACTTATCTTCGAGAAACATAATTCGATCGGCAAATATATTGTTTGTTATAATATTTAGAGAATTGAATTTTTGTGTGGCGTTCGTTTTGCCCTCTTTATTATTGCCACAAATATGTATCTCGGCATCATGCTTTTTCGCATTTTGTTGCATTTTGGAATAGTGGTCAAGCATATAAATATAATCTGCATGTGTTCGTATCTACATAAGTTTTGTTATGTGAATGCTGCATATTTTCCGATTCTCTCTTTGACTATATTAATTATACTTCCATAATTGGTAAATATTTTAGAATCAGGTGAGTGTTTGTATATTCTGTTCTAATTAGATCTCTGGTATAGTTTACACAATACCTGCAATGCACATCGCATGTACACATCGCATGGAACGTAGTGAAATTTATATGGAACATCGCGTTTGTTCGAAACTGATGCGATTCAAGGTATTGGAATTGTGTTTAATATCAGAGAGATATTTTTATACTTGTTGGTATAGAATTTGCTTTTTTATAGAAATATAATTTTAAAAATTTGCTTTTCTGAAAATATAGTGAAATTGGTAAGAGCTTGCTTCCAATTGTGCAAGCGTTATTATCAAAAAACTCGATGTAAAATCAAATTATTGCTTGTTGCCGAGTGTAGATGACGAGAGCGACATCAGCAGCTTGACCGTCACAGAGAAACAAATCGGCGTAAAATTTGAGACTGTAAGGAAAGTTTATCACACCGAGCAAGGGGATGTTGTGGCCGTAGAGGACTTTACTTTGAAACTCTGCGAGGGTGAAGTGACAAGTCTACTTGGCAGAAATGGCGCGGGAAAAACAACTATCATGTACGTTAATTAAGTTGCGCGTTAATTTCTCGGCTTTTTAGACAATTCAATTACATTAAGACATTTTCTCTAATTGCGTTTTTTTTGTTATTTACAGCAAAATGCTGACAGGTATGGTGGTTCCGACCAGCGGCGAGATTTGTCTGAACGGTGAAGAGAATTGCAAGCCTGATATAGGAGTGTGTCCTCAAGAGAACGTGCTCATTGGAACTCTGACGCCGAGAGAACACATGATATTTTACTGGAAACTTAAGAAATCTAACAGTAATAACGTTGAAATGCAGAAACACGTTAACGAGTAAGATAGTAAATCAGAAAATATAATTATAAACATTTTCTATTTTTTCTTAATTAGTTTATTTAAAAAGTTATACTTAGTTAATTAGTTTATTTAAAATAATACTTATTAATTTTTCTCTTTCTTCTAATTTCTAGCAAGCAATAATTTTACAATTTTTCTCAAATCAAAATGCAAATTCCTTCATTCTGTGTATTACAGAATGCTAGCTTCATTGGAACTCGGGCGTCAAGAACACGAGCCTGTGTCACGTTTGTCAGGTGGTACACGACGCCGCCTCTGCGTAGCTCTGGCCTTCCTTGGTTCGCCACGATTAGTGATTCTGGACGAGCCTGGCGCCGGTGTGGATCCCGCAGCTAGACGACGAATCTGGCGATTAATCGATCAACACAGGATCGGTAGAACCGTCCTCCTCTCGACTCATCATCTGGACGAGGCCGACATGCTAAGCGACACCGTTGTAGTAATGCACAAAGGGAAGATCTTGTGCACTGGTTCACCACTGTCCTTGAAAATGACGCATGGCAGAGGATACAGATTAAACATATCCTTTCCGAACGATCATTATGCCAACGGAGAAGCGGGAATAGGCGGAATAGGAGAGACAATCGACAAAAAGAACTTGAAGGATCTTCGAGCAGTCGTCGACGAAGTTATACCAAACGCCACGATAAACGAAATATCCGATTCGGAAGTCATCATTACGTTACCTTTTCAAGGAAAGAATGGCATGAATAACGAGTAAGTGTTTACGGTTAATTGATATTAATATAAATAGCGTCTGAAAAATTTAGAATCGAATTTTGAATTACTTTTTGTCGATCTTTAATTCGCTTTTAGGTATGATTTACATATTCTATGAATTCGTGTATAATAGATTACAAGGATTGAGAAGAAAATCTTAGATAAAATCTACTCATTTTACAATGATTTACGGTAACTTTACGGACACTACGAGTTGCTTGTAATTCATTCCGGCTATACAAATATTTAACGTTTCAAGCCTCGTGATTTACTTTGGAGAAATTGCATTATATTTGGAGAATTGTATTATATATATAATCATAGTCGCTCGAAACGAAATCGGTTAAACACCTGCGTTTGCGTTTGAGTAAAACCAGCCAATGTTTCAGTATCGCGCAAGCGGCGAAAATGCTGGAAGACAATCGTAAACTCTTGGGATTCTCGCACTTTTCATTGGAGTGCGACACCTTGGAAAGAGTCTTCTTGGATCTTTGCGCGCGAGCAGACAACAAATCGAGTAATATTAAAGAGAATGAAGATAGAGTCGCTGTAATAGAGCACATTGGTAAGAAATATTTTACACATTATATTGTAAATAAAATATTACTTTGCAATTATAAAATAAAATAAAATAAAAATTGATTCGTTATAATCGAGATTAGTTTTTGGGAATCTAGAAAGAAAGACTAAAAATTAAAATGCAAAATATAGAATATATAATAAATTCATAACTCTTTTATGTGAAAAATTAAGAAATAAATTTTAATTGATAATTAAGCAAATTAAGATTATAACAAATAAATTGACTGTGTTACAAATAGATTAATTTAATTAGCTTTCGTAATTCGACTTGCTGTAAATTTATAGAAAAGATAGAGATTTATAGAAAAGATAGAGATTTTCGCTTTGTGCGCAGAAGTTCCCATACCAAATGATGACATCGATTTAAACATTGATTTAAATTCTACGGAGATCTTAATGAAGCCTTCGCCGATCCGACAAATGAAGGCCATGATAAAGAAAAGACTATGGCATTTCGCGAGAGACTGGAAAGCACCGTTGGCAGCCCTCATTTTACCGACCATGTTCGTCGCAGTCGCTATGGGATTTTCTCTAATACGGCCACCATCCGAGGACGAACCGGCTCTGAATCTGACTCCCAAACTTTATGACACTCATCCGACTTATTTTTACAGGTAAGTGAAAATCGAAATTTTAACAAAAAAGAAGAATAAAGACAAAGTGTGATAAAGATTTCTCTTATTAATGCAATTTAATTAACTTGAAAGTCTTATATAAAAATTATATTTAGTGGTTTTGTAACTATATAAAATGTCTGTTTAAATTATTGAGCTAAAAATATTTATTTTTCCTGATATTTTTTAATTATTTTGTTGACGTTTCTTATTGCAGTATCGATGACAGTAACGATCAATTCCTGCAACATGTATCAATGCAGCTGCACGATCGTTTCGGAGATGATTATGCGGGCGCATGGCAAACTTTACCTAACGTATAAATATATTATTTCTTTCTGAAATTAAAAAAAAATTTAATCGACTTAAAATTAAACAATTTTCTTATGTTTTTATTTTTCGAATTATTAGGATACCGGAACTTGCGAATGTTTGGACGGTCAACAATTCTGTCAAGGTGTTTCTAAAGCCGTCGAAGGTCTTTATCAGACCTTACCTGGTCGACCTACTTTGGATTGGATCGTTTCAACGCATCAAGAATATATAGAAAAAAGGTAGATTTTTTTTATAATAAAGATAGATTTTTTTAGGTAAATTACGAAATTTCGTTGAAATTTTCAAAAATAATTGGCTTGTAGATACGGCGGTTGGTCTCTATCACACGCCAAAAAGGATCCTCTTTTTGTCGTTTGGTACAATAATAAAGGCCACCACTCATTGCCATCGTACCTGAACGCCCTCAATGAGGCAATTCTGCGAGCATCCGGAGTGCAAGGACACTTAACTACACTCAATCATCCCTTGAAGCTATCGAGCGATCAGCTGAATCGAACTACTTTGTGAGTATTAACTTTAATGCCGCGACAAATCTGTAATTTTACGGGAAAATCTCGAACAAAAATATTTTTCATTGCGCCATTTTCTCGTCGCGATTCTTATACGCCTATGTGTTCGGGAACTAATCAATTATAAAAATTTTATATCAACAAAGAGAGAACGCGAAGAGAAACAGAGAGAGAGAGAGAGAGAGAAAAGGAGAGACGCGAGTAGGTTCGTTCAAACGAATAAGCGAAGATGTTTGCAGTTGAAGCTTTTGAATTGAAAGAGTCGGCGAACGAGCTAACTCACATCAGCGTAGATGTTTCGTTTACTTTTAATTAACGTACCGCGTCTTTTAGTATTCATGTCGACATCAGGTCGGTCTTCGTCGCAGCTTCGGTCGCTAGAGTTTTGCTTGTGTGTATCTTTATATCATTAATAATATTACTTTCATTTGCTTTTTTTAATTAATATTAGAGTATAATACATAAACAATAATGCATCTTATACGTAAAAAAATATTTAGATATGCAATAATTATTTTTTCTTTTAAATTTTTATAATAATCGAATTGTATAAAAATCATTTCAAAAACCTTACGTTATAATATTTGATTCCTGTGTTAGATTGCAACATGTGGCGGATGTCGGCGTGGCGATAGTACTTCTGATAGCATTCAGTTTAGTCGGAGCTCAGGGAGCAAAGGAGTTAGTGAGAGAACGATTATCAGAGGAAAAGAGAATACTTTATTTGGCTGGAGTTCATCCTATTACATATTGGACAACAGTTTTAATTTGGGATTTCATAGTAAGTTATTAAAAATAAGAATGCATAAAAATCTTTTCAATTTATCCTGAATTAATTTATACGTTTTTAATACGTTTCTTTAGGTATTTGGCTGCGCTATTTGCTTGGCGGTAATCGTTTTCGAAATTTTCGGTTTATCGGCCTACGTTGCAAAAGATAATCTCCCCGGTGTTTGTCTTTTATTGTTTTTATTCGCGTAAGTATTTATATACAAATAATTTTTTATTCAAATCAAAATGAGGAAGATAAAAGATCTTTATAATTTATCTATTTTTTTTTAGATGGGCGGCAATACCGTTTTCACATCTGGCCGAAAAAACATTCGATGACTCTAGCTTGTCCAACATGGTGCTCTTTTGCATAAATACGTTTATAGGTGTATCTGCCCTAGCGACAATCCTAGTGCTCGACATTATTGGTAAAACTAAAACAGCCGAAGACGTGAGAAACATTTTGCATTACATCTTTATGATTTTTCCGCAATATACTCTCGGCGATGCGTTAGTCGAGATATCGAGGAACGACATCACTTCCGAATTGCTACAGAGATTTCACATGGACACTTACCAGTCACCGCTTAGCTGGGATCTTCTTGGTCTTCATTACGTTTTCCTGACAGTAATCGGCGCGATTTTATTCGCGCTGAATCTGATGCTCGAATGCCGCGTCTTGCCCGATTTGAGGAGACAAAAGATCAGTTACGAGGTCGTGCAAGAGGACGATGACGTTGCCAGAGAGAGACTGAGAATCGAGGCCGGAATGGTCGATGATGTCTTGAAGACTGTGAAGCTGAGGAAGGAATATAGGAGCGTATACGGAACAAATGTCGCGGTACAAAATTTAAGCTTTGGCGTACAAGCGGGAAGATGCTTCGGCCTCCTGGGGGTGAACGGGGCGGGAAAAAGCACGACATTTAAGATGCTGACAACGGAAATCATTCCTACGGCCGGGAAGATTATTCTTAAAGGAAAGGAGATTGGCGGTGGACCTCTGTGCAACGGTGAGGTTGGTTACTGTCCTCAGAGCGACGCTTTAGATGGATTTCTCACTCCCCATCAGTGTCTGACGATCCACGGTGAAGTTTGCGGGTTGAATAATGTTCCTAAGGTATAGTGAAATTATTTTCATCATTAATTTTATGTAAAAATATTATTTAGATTAGGCTTATTAATTAAGATGTATTTGCATCATTGATTTACATTACTTGAAATTTTTAAGAGTTAATGCCGAAGATATTCTTGAAAATATTATTTCAGATTCTTTTATATTCAAGCAGAAGAAAGTTTTAATTAAAAGTTATATATATTTATAGATATCCAACTTCGGACTGCAATTTATTTCATTTATTATTTTAGGCTGTCGAGACAATACTGAAGAGGTTCGATCTGCTTAAGTATGCTCATCGAAGGGTCGATGCTCTTAGCGGTGGTAATAAAAGGAAATTGTGCGCCGCTATAAGTGTCATGGCACCTGTGGCAATAGTTCTCATGGATGAACCTACAAGGTACTTTTCGCTCGATATAATACATTAATTAAAAATTAAATGAGAAATTAAATGAAAAAGATATTTAATTTTTCGCATTAATGTTTAATAAACTTTTATTATTCTCGCGTACATTAGCGGAATGGATCCTGCCACGAAGAATCTCGTAGCCAAAGCCGTGAGACACGTGACGAAAAATGAAGGATGTGTCATACTGACTTCGCACAGTGTTGCCGAATGCGAAAACCTTTGTACAAGGGTAGGAATCCTCGCCAAAGCTGGTCTCAGGTGTATAGGAACTCCGCAGCATTTGAAGCACAAGTAAGATTACGTCGAACTTCGTATCTTCGTGGAATAAGACGTCTCTTTTAATTTCAAGATCAGATATTTCCCAGCAGACTTGTAAACCTTGTAGGTCGGCGCTTTTGATTCTCTGTTTCTGTTTGCAATCTTTTTTTTGAAATTTGATTCGAGAACTTATAGGTGTATTATATTCTGTAGCTTAACGAATCCTTCAATCGATAACTCTTAGCTTTGTACCGTTCCATCCGTTCAATAATCCTCTTTATGAAAGAGATAAGAACGATATAAAACGGCAACGTGAAGCGAGGAAAAGACGATGGCTTAGAGCAATTAGACTTCACAATACAAAATCATTGGCTTAGATCTACCAATATTTTTTTAACGACGCTCAAAGAAAAATTGATGCTCGTAACGCATTTTAATTAGACCGCCAAAGAATTTAATTAAGTCTGTGAGACCTTTTACAATGATAATATTCTTACAATTAAGCCCTTGCTGATCTTTCTAGCAAAAAAATAATTATTTCTGATCGAAATTACTTATGTACATGTGTAGAAGAGATCTCTCTAAATGTATAGAAATTACATTTCACGGCTATTCGAAGTAACATCGAGCGCCATAAATATTTAACTGCTAACAAGCCGAAGTGTTTCGAGAAGCACCTCTGAAAATGACCATCTTTTACTTTTCTTTCTCTTTCTTCTGTAGCCTGATGTCTGATCGAGGGTAGAATTTACGATTTAGTCTTGTCCATGTTAGTACCCCATCCTGCAATCCGCTCTCATGTATCGCGGAAAGTACGCGGAATGATAAAGAAATAGTGAATGCACTTTATTACAGCATAGAACACACAGTGGAAGCTTATCTTTCGTGTCTTTTGACCAGGAGACGAGATTTTAAAATATTGATTCATGTCCCTTGCGATCGAACGCAACCATAAAGCAAATAAATTGTAACTTAGGGGTACTAAAAGAAAAAAAAAGAAAGGCATTTCTCTTTTTAATCAACCTCCTAAAATTTCAGAAAATATTTTTCTATTCTCAAATAACTTTTGCGTCGTGGTTTTGTCATAATTAATTTAAGTATCGTTTTAACATGTATCGAAAATTTGTCTCGAAAACTGAAAATGTCATTTGACTTTTAGATTCGGTGAAGGATATGTTGTCTTCCTGAGATTTGGCCAACCAGTTTCCGCCACGGATCTTAGGAGAGCTATCCTGAAATATCTGCCACAGGCGATGATCTCTTCTAGACAGGCAACGGCTGCCCGACTTTTGCTACCACGAAGTCAAGATACGACACTTAGCGTGAGTTTCAGTATGGTGAAGCTGTTGGCGGAGGAGCTTAAGGCTACGGACTACACGCTCACACAAAGCTCGCTGGATCAGGTCAGTGAATCCAATTCAACAAAGCGGCGTTGTTTCGCGGATTCTCAACAGTTCTGGTTTTCAAGTGCTTCGTCTTGCCTCTCATGAAACTTTGCAACGTATTATTTCAGATACGTTCTCGGAATTGTTTATTATATAATGTTTATCAAGTTGTATTAGTTTGATACCCTTAGGGGTATCAAACCAATACATGAATAACTGATATCATATATATATCATATATATCTCGTCGAAATTATATCGCAACTTTACGTGCAAATTTAAAATATTTAAAGTACTTATCGTCGAGAGTTTGGAATCGCGCTATTTATTTTTGCAACGTAAACCTTTGGTGAATATTCGGCGGATGCGCAATATTCCAAGGCTTGTCTACAGCAGATGATGCACCGCCGGTATATAACGCCTCCTCCTGTCGTCCAAAGACGAGCCGCGTTTTCGTCCCACCGATCCCGACGGATATTAATGGATCCGTCGTTTCGTAGTTCACTTACATACAGCCTCACGATGGTTTACAAGCTGAGCGAAGGAGAGGCAGGATAGCGGGAGGGAGACGGGAAATTCACCCACACCAGACTGCCTCTAAGCTTGCCTAAATGCTTTCCGGATAGCTGTAACGCGCAGAACCGATCCCCTTTCCTCTCTCCCCGTCTCCGCGAAAACTGTTGTTAATTAACCGCTCACTCTCTGCCTGGAAATAGTTCACCGTCCGAATAATGAAGCCCGAATCTTCCCGAGATTGCCGAGTGTAAATCTCATATATACGATACGCTCCCTTGCATTCCGCTCTCGAAGTCTTTGCGCATCGGGCATTACAAGGACGATTGTCTTTCACGTCGCTTCAATGTGAGGGGATTGCGAGCATTGTCGGTAAATCGGCATATTGTTAGTATATACGCGAGTCAGCGCATCGTAAATACACGTCAAAGCGCCGAAGTCACTCGCGCCGCGCATTTCTCCAGTCGCGTATTTAACGATATTATTCGTCGCGGATACTAGATGCAATTAATACGCAATTAAATCAAAATCAATTTAAAAAATCACGCAATTTAAAAAATCACGCAATTTAAAAAATCACGCGTTGATAATTGTGCGCAGGCGTATACGTGTAAAAAAAAAAGAAGTGTTGTGCCATTTTGCTCAAATTTCTCTCTCTTTGCGCATCTTTTTTTTGGACGCGACGTTTTGCACGAAATTGTGGATTACCCTACCTCTTCCCTCTATATGCTCGTAAACTTATGAACGTGCATAATACCTCGTGGTTTTTTTCTCGCGCATAAAACTTCCCCGCATTTCTGCCGCGAAATAAAAATTTCTAAAACACAATGAACATGCGCGACTGACGTGTAAGTGAGTGACCCGTGTATTTCAACTTACGAATGGGCGAGTTACGTATACAATGCGTGTTGGTCACGACGGCGCCGAGAGAGATGTGTTTGCGCGAAAAATGCATGCGCGCGGGTAGCCGAAATTTGCATTTTGCTTGATCCCTCTTCTTACCGCCAAACTTCCGCCTTTTGTGACTTTACCGCCTCTTTGCGAACTTTACCGCGCGTAAAGTGGCTGCCCGTTGCATTTACATAAGTCGGTTAATAAAGAAAAAAATTTTAATTTTGAAATTAATTAAAAAACTTTTTAAATTCCTTTAAATTCTTATAGAGAGCGATCAAAATGTTAACTTTAATTAACATGCTTTCGAACGTAAGATGTATGTGTGTATGTGTGTAATACCGCGATATTACGCTATTAATTATTTTCGTGGCGCAAACTGCAGTGCATCGAGGTGAAATCTGAAAATTGCGGAAAATTCAGTTGCATCGTACAAAGAGAATTTGTGTGTGCGCGCGGGCAACATAATATTAACTCAAAAAGTGACCATTACAGCGGCATAAAGCTTTTCATGCAATTTCATTGCTTTTTTCGAATTTATTTTTTATATAAAGAACTGTCTATAACTAGAAATAGTAAAAGACAGTAAAATAAAATTAAACTTTATAGCTAATTTTCTTTTAATTTCATGTTATATTTTATCTCAATTTATTTGCTAAAATGTGAAATTTACTTCATGTTAATTTATTTCATTAATTTGCTAGTTAAAAAAGAGTGATTTTTATTATTTATAGATTATTCGTCGTAGATTAAGAATTTATAGATATTTATAGATATATATAAATATATATAAATATTCTTTATCACAATCATAAAATAAAATAAAGCCATAGAAGTGGAATTTTAACAATAGGCAATTTTTATTTATTTTATGTATTTTTTAACAATACACATCAATCAGAGAGTTTCGTGATTTAGTTGCGAGTAATGATCATAAATCACGCGAATTGCGCGACAGCAAGATTGCCGGTGTGGGTTATGTATATGTAGATCTTATGGTCCTAAAAGCGTGCGCGCAATCCACTTCCATCTATTCTTCGCGATTTTGCAGCGTCTGAAAACTTGAAGAAACGGCTCGAGATCAAAATGAACCATCGACGCTTGAGGAGAAGCGGGAATTGAAATCGTCGTTTGAGTGATCGATCGACCGTGATCAAAAAGGTGGGATTTAATTTCCGCGAAACGCGGAGAAATGTGGAACGGCGGAGGAGAAGAAGAGAGAGAGAATGTTTTTCTATTTTTTATAAACGTATTATAAACTATTGTTATCGTGCATGATTAAAAATTCGATTAAAAATTCGATTGAAAATAAACGTTGTAAATTTAGAGAATTTATTGAAAAATAGATGCGAGACGAAAAAAAATACGAATAAAATATTAATATTCGCGAGAATGAATTAAAAACATGAAAAATTTAGGAGAAACGTCATCAAATACGATGATTTATGAAAACTTAATCACTTATAAAGCGGCGGAATAAGAAAAATTTAACACTTGAACACGATGAGTTTGATGAAACCCTTTGTCATCAGAAATAGAATCTTTTCGATAAATAATATGGCCGATCTATCAGAGCCCATGACATTTTGCAATTTCTGCGTAATTGGTTCATTCTGAAAATATCGATCCAAGACATTTAGCGTGCAATTGCGCATTTCGTTCTTTTAAATTTAATGCTTTCGAGAGTACCATTGCTAATTGTTGTTAACGAGAAAGAAGTTTACGCGCGCCATCGCTTCGAAAAGTACTGTCTTCTATCCTTTCCTAGGTGTATTTAAATCGTCGTTAAATATAAACTTGCGTCACGTATTCATCCCTACTTCTTGAAACTTAGTCCGTGCGAACATTAAGGGCTGCTATAAACCCGTTGTTTTGTAAGCTTCTACAGTAACGACAATAGCAACAGCTCAAGTTAGTACGGTTCGGAATATAAATTAAGTTCCAAGTACGATATAGTAAACTGGGTCAAATCTAAGAAGTTCTAGATTATTGCAATACTATGGAAAACTATGGAACTATTTGCATATTTTTTTAAAGATTCCACAAGTGCAAATTCATTTTTCGAAAATTAGAAGCGTAAAACATATAGAGTAAACCACAAATTATAATGTTCTTATATTTAGAATCTAAATTAAGAAAATGTCGCAAAGAATTGTCATTTATGAGAATTACTATTGACGAATGAATATTAAAATATTTTAGTAAATTTATATTATTTTATATTATTTATATTATTTATATTATTTATATTATTTATATTATTTATATTATTTATATTATTTATATTATTTATATTATTTATATTATTTTATATTATTTATATTATTTTCTATCTCATACTAATAAGAAAATTAATGAAAAATAATTTTTAGAAAAAGTTACGTGTTCAAAATCTATATTTTATTGAAAATGTGTGATTACTAGATTTTCTATATTATTGCAATAGTCTTTCTCTCTGTTATATTTAAGTATCTATTTTATTTATCTCGTGTTATAATAATTATAATGCAATAACGGGAGAGCGTGAATAGTTTTTAATATTGAATCAAAATGGTCCGTTGAATAATTGATCCATGGCGTATATATTTTCCAAAAAAAATCTATTCCAAGCAGTCGCTTGCGACGTTAGGACATTATGTAAATGCATTTCTTGCCGTGATGCAAAGACGGTACGGCAATCTCGCAAACAAAGTGGGAATTTTTTGCAGCATCGCGACGGGCTTGCACGTATAACCAGGCAAACTTGGCCGGTCAGAAAAGTTTTGAGATTTTTATGGGTCTTCATTGCAAGAAGAGTCGCCTCACCCTCCATCTCCCTTTCCTTCCATCCCACTGTTGGATCGTGCTTCAACGAAAAGCACGCGCGAAACTGCAACGATCCTCCAACCATCGAAAGTTCGCACGCATAGTCTTCTCGAAGAACTTTGTAGTTGCGATAATCACAAACGCAAGCTTTGATTGATAAATATATATAACACATATTGGATAGAAATATCGCAAACAAAATCATTTTAATAATATATTCATCTCTGCAATTTTATAGAATCCTTATACTCGTAGAATCCTTGAGTTGTAGAAACTCTTCAAGCGAACTTTTTCATAGCGAGTGCGAGATAATTTTTTTCATGAAAATTATTTTATCAATTTAGAACAAATTTTTTTAATAGTATTAAATTTTTATCATGTGCAGGTTCTGGTAAATTTCTCGGAGGAGTTGGACGATGAAGGCATCGACGCGAGTATCTTTGGCCAAGGCAGTAGAAACAGCATGCCCAACATGTACTCCAGTATGGATACTATTCACATGGACACATTTTGAATGTGTCGTTTAATTAGGTCTTAAACTCTCTAGAAAGCTCTCTAAAAGTAGCTCTTGCTAGAAATAGACACACACGAATTTAACTAAAGTTTTACGTTTCACTCTTGGTAAAACTTCTCCTGTTCGTCAGATGCGCTCCAACGGTACGCATTCTCGTGGCGATTGCTGTGATAGTCTGCCTTTACGTTCGACGCCATGATGAAACGCGCGATTTATACGAGCTTTATATAAAAAAAAAAAGATATCTCGTGTTTTTTACGCAGTTTTTCTGAGACAAGAGATTTAGATATTCATTTACTTATAAAATCTAGATTTGATCGATCAAGTTCCTAAAACAAATCTTTCTTAGAAATTCGTGATAAAACAATTTCATTCGGTCTCAGATATGTAAATATTATATTTTTGCGGCAATTTTTTGATTTAGCAATAATTTTAGGATTATTAGTATTTTTAGTGGAATACATAAATGTGTACGTTTGTTTTTAGAATTATAAAATTAAGAAAAAATTAAATAAATTCAGCGATGTGAGATGAAAATTTCTCATTTTAGCAGAATGAATGCTTATGATAAAAGCCAATATGTGATTAATTTAAAGTGATATATGCAGATTTTGTAAAACGAAAAGTATCAGGTGATTGGTGAAGGTGATTAAATCGGGAAATCGAATTAATTGATAGAACTACTGTATATTTTATGTTAGCAATATTTACCTTAAATCAATAATATCAATAATTATATTAAATAGATTAACGTAATTTCATATCAGTCGTAACAATATCTCATTATTAATATGATTATTTTTTACGATGCTTTTTATAAAGCTGACAAACATCGTTAATGTAATGCAGAATACATGCATTACATTACAATTTGATTACTTATCATATATCTTTGTCTACATTGCAGTCAAAATATTTTATACAATGAATATGCAATTACACGTTAATGAATGTTTTATTACAAAATGTACTCAAGAAATAATTGTGTGTCATATTCGTAATTGAAAAATATATTAAATAATTAATGAAATTTATTAAAATTCCGCTTATACATAATTTAAACGGACAATAAAATTATATATTTAATTAAAAATACTTAGGTATAAATAAATCAATATTATTGATATGTGAGTAAGAGAAACGGGGACTAGTGTTGACATCATCGCTTCCGCTCATATTTCGCCGTCGCTCTGACATTGCAATTTCGAAAACAGAGGATTCCACAGGCTACGGTATTCCGCCATCAATTTTCGCCGAAGGCGATTATCGACTAGTACGTTTGACACACTCAAACCGACCGGTTACATATCGCCTGCGAGAACTCATGCCATATGTACAGGGTCTGGAGTTTTTATTTGTCACGCTTGACGACGTCGTCAGTTATGAAGCACAAAGATCAATGTTTACACGATTACGAATAGTGCAAAAAATTAAAAGAAGAAGCAACGATAAAGCGCGAGATTGTGTGAAATTATTGCCGCAAAAGAGGACAATATAATTGCATCAATATGGTGTAAAAACATATATTCTCAGAATAAGATACGCATACACAAATAGTTACTAAATATTCCAAGTTACTCGCATTTTATAAAATACTTTCGGGGAAATTAAAATTTTTCTTAACAAGGATATACAGAATAATTGATAAAAGTCAGGCAATTTAGAAAAACTTATATTTTTATTTTAATTCTAATCTTAATAATTTTTAAAGTGCGTGTGATTCAAAAACTTATATTCGTTAATAAAAGCTTATATTTATAATATGTGTGAAAATCAAAATAAGAAATGATAAGATTTTATAAATAATTATTTTAGGCTATATATTTTACATATATTTATAATATATTTTAAATATTTTAAATATTTAAAAATATATATTTTAAATATATCTTTTTATATATTTTATAATTCAACATAATTTATGATCAATTTTGATTCTGCACATATGGCATCGGTAAATATTAAATTATTTTATCTTAATCTTGAAATAATAGTTGTGTAAATTATATAAAGTATTAATATAAAAAATATACTTTTTCAGTGATTATAAAAATTTAAATCTGTAATAACAGATAAGCGAAAAAAGACCAAATATTCGCTATAATTTATAAATTCTTATCTTAAAATTTTTAATTTAATCGAATAAATAAATAAATTGATAAAGAATTAGGCTCTTTATGTATTTAACAACACGATACACTAGAAAAGAACGATTAAGAATCACGAATAAATAAACATCGATAACATAATAGAAATGATAATAGAAATTGATAATAGAAATATGATAATAGAAGTATGATAATAGAAATTGTATAAATATATTGCAAGTTTTTCATTATAACGTATAAAATTAGAATTCAAAGGTGCAATATTCGCCTGCATAAATGAAAAAGGGAAACAGGATACTCCATCAAGTTTTTCCTCATTTTCTCTTTCAACAGCCTTTCTCTATCTCTCCATCGTGCTAAACACGTCCTGGATGTCGGTTAAATTCGCTATCCAAGATCGTCGGGTGCGCCGCGTGCTTGATGGAAATTTCGCATCAAATATATATAGCTTCTAGATAATAAAAGCGAAATTTCGTTACGAATTACAACGAAGGACAATGTTACTGTGTTATCTCCTATGCAAAATCTTCTTTCGCGCTTTCCTCTTCGAATCAACGGCGTCATTCGTTCGATTCACCAAGTTAGCGAAATCGATTCAACTGCTGAAAGGTAAATAGTCGCGATTCTGAAGAGCGTAAGCACGCAAATATCTATTACGCTGATCGCACTGAACGAATCGGAAAAGGAACTTTTCGCTCATGTAAGAATCACGAAAATTCATTCGGAAATGGGAAATCAGGATTGACGGTTATTTTAGTCGAAATTTCGTGTTATACTGCTGATAGCGCGAGTTACACTGCTCCAAATGCACGACATTTTACTCGAATTGCAACTTTTATGAAAACGAAGAAATGGTCTGCGAAAATGCTTCCGTAAGGGTAGTGTATCCGTAGATACGAAACGCATTAAAGAGAAGTTTAATCCAATCGTTTACGTGTCCGGAATATCCATGAGTTTCTGAAGCGGCCAACAGGAAGAAGGAAATAAAGACAGAGATTAAGTTGCCGTAATTTCGTCCGATACGACGGCATGTTCTGTCTCTGCCCGAGGTAGAATCCCTTGCCCGTGGCAAAGGCAGGAGGGAAACTGATCGAGGTCGATTATTCTCCAACGAGGAATTGTTTTCGACAATTGATTCCTGGCGAATATTGACGTTTTGGCGTTAATGTCGTAAATAAACGAAATATAGAAAAATTCGATTTCTCTCTCTCTTTCTTTATTTTTACGCAAATCGATTTTTGCCTCTCGTCTGAATTGACATTTTAAAATAGGATTTGCGAATCAGCGAACGTGCGAGAAATCAAAGATAGTTTTCCGTACATTTAGAAAGTTATTGGTGGTCTATCTAGAGTTTTCCAGAATAGAAACTTTGATCTCTATTTCACGTACAGAGTTTCGCTTCGTCAGAGACTTTCAGAGATTTGCGACAAACAAACCGATTATGATAAAGTAAACGAAATTTTAATTCTCTAAATTTTATAAATTTTAATTTATAACAATTATTATTTTTTCATTTAGCAGCTATTATTATAATTATTATAATTATTATATTTATTATAATTATTATACATTATAATTATTATACATTATAATTATTATATTATCAAAATTATTTATTTTACAAATATTCGTTTATTATAATTGAGATCATTAAAAATTCCTCCAATAAATTTATATAAATTACTTTTTGTGTACTTAATACACAATGTCATGTATTTAATCCAGACTTTTTTCATTAAATTTTCTCGCTGCGCCCACGCTTTTGCTTGCTAAGCCACTCTCTTTTAAACCGCATCGGCATAATAATGGAATAAATTTCGGTAACGAAGAGGAGACCGCTCGTTCACGTGCAAGACTGGTCCTCTGCCCGCCAGATACGTGATTATCGTACGTGTGTGTCTACCCTTGCCACCTAAGCGAGAGGGATCGCCGACGAGCGAATTAAGAGGCCGAATACGTTCCGCAGCTTCGGATAAACTTGGAAACAACTGCTGTCATTCGCAGATGCGCCCGGCAACGACGTCGGCAGAATATACGCCGCTTACTTTAGCGAAAGGAAGAGCGGGATATCTAGTGGATGATACCTGCGGAATGCTTGCAACCAGCGTGCAGATGTACCGAAAATCTTTTGTATGAAACACGTGGAACGCGCCGACTGCGATTCCACGAGGATTAAATGCCGCGCTTACGCGCGCCGTTTGTTGCTAACTAGTGTTTAGGCTTGTTAGCGCGATTATATCCGAGACAGAATATAATGCGCACGTTTCTCGTACACCGCGCACCTACGTATTATCGCGAAAGATATCATCCGGAATCCAGAATTTTATATAAGGCGCGATTAACACTTTTTCATTACCTCTTTTTGCAGACGATTCGTGTGTTACATTTGGAAATTACGGCTAAATGCTACGCGTGTAATCGAATGAAACAATTTTGCCAATCTCATCGGGACGAAAGCGACCGACACATAATCGGCCGCGAACGATCGGGCATTCGTTTGCACGAACTCTTCCGGATTTATTCCGGATTACTCGTGTTAATTACGCGCCATTTGTCTTGCATTAACGGGACGCGCGCTTCCCTGCGTCCCGGGGAAATATCTGAAATTCAACGGGAGATAAATGATGACAGCCGTAGCGACGCGCGTCACGTGGCTACGACCTCTCCGCGGTATCCTTAGCTCGACAGTCATCAGGGAACGCAATGCGCACAATGTGCATTCATGGGAACGTGGCCGAGATAGCTCCCGTAACTCGGGGGCGCGCAGCCATAGCCGACTCTGGCGGTCCCTCCTCGTTGAATGGTGATCCTTTATCAGCATCACGTCCCTCAAGTGTCTCCGCAAAGATTCCTCTCGATGTCAGTGGGCGACCGAGAGTGAGTTAGATCGGTGGAAATGAATCGAGAGAGTTAATCTTGGAGGATACGGTGCGGTCGTGCCGTATCTGTCTGCCTGCGATCCCGCGGTGCCAGATCCTTCCAACATGGAGATTCGGGATCAATCGTCGGCGAAATTAAGCTCTCCGTGCCTAAGCCGGATAATACTAGGTGAATGGGATAGTTTTTGTATCTCTAGATGAGCTTCGCTAGTCGGGGAGTGGGCAGGAATACGAGAGCGCTCTATTTTGCAGGAAGTCATTTTGCTCATTCAGTGCAATCGTAGCATATTATTAACCCTGCTGTTTCATTCGCATTTATTTAGCTCATTTTTTTTAGAGATGTTATTGCTATTGCAATAAAATGTTGAACGTGTTCAAAAAGAATCGAACAAAATGCAGCAAGGTTAATAATTAATTTTAATTTTATATATTATGCAAAAAATAATTGATACGCTATTATTTTCTGTGGACACATTAATGTTACAATTTATAAATTATTTTTTAGATATCAATTGATCTTAAAAAGTTTTTTCCTACTAAATTGTATCTATTCCGTAGGTCTGTTTTCTAACTTCGTAACGACAATGTTGTTATCGTTTCATGTTGTTACATAGGTAAAACTTACTAGAAAATGGCTGCGCAAGAATAGCGATACCATTATAATAGCAATAATGAGACGTTCCCTTGCAAATGTACATGGTAAAAAACATTTTGTATTTCTGTTAAAATTTTCTCGTGTAAAAATTTTTGTGTTAAATTTTTAACATACTCTTATGTTAATGTAACATATCGTTGCGTTATTTTGACATTTCTGCGTTGAGTTAATATTCACCGTTAAGAGTTAAAACAACACAATTAATATGTAAATGCACAAATTTTTGATGAAATATGTTAAAATGAACAGATAAGTTGTGTTATTTCTATAATAGTTTCCATATGTTAGATCGACATATCTTTTCTGTTATTTATCATAAAAATGTAAGAATAACATTTTCTTTTAATTAAATTTAACATTATAAATATGTTAATTTAACATAAACTTTATTTCCAGATAAAGTTTAAGTGTTACACTTTTGTGTTAATTTTTAAACATATTACTTGTGTTATTTATTTACATACTTGCCTTCTGTTAAATTAACATTAAAATTAGAGTGGATAAATTGGGACATGTGAAATATGTTAAAAACACAAAATTTTTTACTGTGTAGATTAATAGCGATAAATACGCAATAAGATTTTCTGACAACCGTTTTTTTTTCTTTTATAAAATTTATAGTATAGCAATGTTTCCGTAGTGTGCAAATAAACATAAATTTAATATTTCTAGAATTACTAAATGAAAATGGCGTCATTATATTTGCAGGAAAACTTGTAATATACAATTATCTTTTTAACAGACTGCTTTTAGATCTCGGCCTTTTAGAGATCGTTTATTTTTGATAGTAAAATATTCACTGTATGAGAGCTGAGGGCGAGTTTTATCGCATGGAAAATTCGGAGATACGCGATTAAATTCGTTCGCGTGTTGGCGAGCTTACAGCCTGGCGGAAGATAACGATAACACGTCGGCCGGGATGCTCTCGCGTCATTAGCAATGGAAATTTCGAGTTTCCTGCTTTTTGGTTCACTGAACCATAATAATATCGAGTGCGTCGGTAACGAGCGTGAAAAAAAAGAGATGCAGGTATCGAAGATAGGAATGATGGGGAGAGGGCTGCATGCGCGGAAATAAACAATGATTATACGCCGGACTGCAAATTTCTGTTTGCGAATCGTGCAGGTTATATTTTCGCGAATATTGATTTATGGTTTTAATATAAAATACCGATATATATAATATGTATGTGGAATACACAGCAAATATGTTAAGAAAATAACAGATAACATAATAAATATTTTAAAACACACAGAACAATCAAATTTTAATGTACGAAATTTTTTTAAGAGTTTGCAAGCAAGCAACGTTTTCATAACAGATTCAAGCTTCATGTGTATATAACGCGAATCTATAGGATAGTAATCAACTCAATAATACCACATCAATTCAATTAACAAGAATATTACTTTTGTGTCTTAAAATAATTATGGAAGTGAATATAATTAATATCAATTCTCGTTTCGAAATCCGTCTTGAGATTATATAAGGGATGCTAAGATGCTTAGACACGGTGATCCATCTCTCAAATTATGTAGTTACATCATTCAACGAGATGTAATTTCGAACTTTTGCGATACATTATATATGTCTCGCATGTCGAAAAAATTCAGCAATCAACGCCAGTCTTTTACATCTGTTGTATATTATGCTTGTTAAGTTGGTAGACGATAGTCGTATTAATTTAAAAGTAAAAAAAGTCGATGAATAACGTCATATTGAATAATGTAAACAAGCCACATGTGTTATTTTAGGCACTCGTATTATTTAGTTTGCGATATAATGCGATACACGTTGTCGACAAACGCAACACAATTGGAATATGCTGTTGACGCAAATCTGCATACCGCAATTCAATCAGTTCGCATCCGCCCAACCGTGCGTACGTGCGTGCGTTTAATTAGATCGATTCGGCTATGCCAAATTCGTCTTGAACTGAGGTTGCGCCAAGACGTAACGGTAACGATCCATCATGGCCTCGGTAGGTTCGTCATTTAACCCGGTTTCCGTTCATGAACGAAGATAGGCCCCGGACGAGGGTGCCGCAACGTTGATCAAGATTAATCGTATGCAAATTACGCTGACGTCAACTAGAGAATTCTGCGAGAAATTTTGGGGACTTCTACGTCTCGAGAAGGAAGGCACGATACGGAGGGAAAGATCGAACGTCTTGCCCGGACCATAATGATAATTGAAAAAATATGGGCAATTTTATTAAATGAGAAATCACCTTCGTTGATGTATGTATAATGATGTTCTTGATATTGATTTTTCGCGAGCGACGCGAAGTAAATTATTTTCGCAGCATGTTTTTCACGTAATTTGTTTCCATCTAGTCTCTTTAAACAAACAGATTTAGCAATTTTTCATTGTTTTCTGTCTCTCTCAATCTTTATATTGTCTTCACAAAAGAATACGTATTCTTTCTTCTTCCGTTCGAAAAATTTAATCTAATCTACATAGACAATGATAATCTATTGTAAAAGACTATAGTATCGTAATACTTCTTTTAAATTCAAGATACATATATTTTACATAGTAAGCTTAACTTAAAAAAATAGCAATATTGTTGGGAAAAATTGTCAATTCTCAAATAATCGATTTTTTAATCGATAATTATACAATAATTCTTTTTCCACAAATAATGTATTTAACAAAGAAATTTTAGCAAAAGAAAAGTCTTTAATGTTTCATCCAAATGCAACTATAGCGCCGTATTCACACATCCATTTTTTGCAATTTCATGATTTAATATTTGCAACTAGTTTTCATATTCGCGAGATTATATTTTGCTTATTTCCGAAAATGTTGACAAAAATAATAAAATAGCGAATAAAAATAATATTTTTAAATATTTCCTCTCTTTTTAAACATGCACTTCATACTAGTACATTAATGCTCATTATCTCCTCCATTTAAGAGTTCGGTATATAATGTTACCTTTCCAAATCTCTTTTTAAAAAGTTTCAATCTTGCAAAATTCCAGCAGAACAAAATAAAAAAAAAATAATAATAGAAAAACACATATTTTATTTTTTCGATGTATATTTTTTCACCAGATTAAATTTTCTATTTTTTTCTGTTTGTTTTATAAAATGGAACTTTTGCAGAACATATAATTCTGATATACACACAGAATTATTTCTGTATTTATCTAATTTTGTTTTTTAAACATTAATTTTCGACAAATGCTAATGCTTCTATTCATTAAGGTAATTACAATTATCATTATAATGTAACAGATTACATAAATATCTTTACTGAATATCTCAGATACTATGTGGTCCAAATGATTGATAAAATAAAATTTAATCTTGGGATAGTATGTGTGTGTGTGTGTGTGTGTGTGTGTGTTCAGTTACCCAAACAATATGGCAAGCCTAAACGTTTAACAAAATACTTCAGATCTCTCAAAAAGTTTAAGATCTAGAATACGGATATATTATGTTTTTGATTTCTTCGACATTTAATAAAAAAGATATCAAATATATATTACCGGATATATTATGTTTTTGATTTCTTCGACATTTAATAAAAAAGATATCAAATATATATTACTTTTATCTTTTTATTATAAAACTTATTCAAGTGTACATTAAAAAATTGTGATAAATTATAAAAAAGATGGAAATTCCTTATTTTTAATAATTAATATTTTAGAATATTTTAATAATTAATATTTTAGAATATTTTTTTATTTTGTTGTAATATTACTTATTACTGTAATATTAATATAGAATTATGTGTAATGTTGTAATTTTATGATGATTTCGTAATATAAATCAGAATTAATGTATTGAAACAATACAAATTTACGTTATTTGTTTAGACTCGATAAATATTTTTTCAAATCATAGAAAAACTATTTCTGCGTAAAAATCTGAAATTTTTTGTTGAACAAAGACATTTGGATTTGACTAGTCATTGCTGACGTGGTGCTAAATACGGCAGATATGTCTGCCAAGCAGACTTGGGCAGACGCACACAAATGACCTTAAATATGTGTACGTACTAATATGTATATATTCAATCACGCAATGTGGTAGGTTGTAGACGATGTACATATGGCAGCGCGGAGGTCAGTGTAAAACTGTCTTCTGTCCGTAACGTATCGAGCCGTAGCCGGTCGAGTGAATGTTCGACGAGAGTCCTTCTTCAATCTTACAGTGCTCTAAAGAGAAAGCAACGGCTCTTATATGTGAGAATTTCTCCATTGCAGAAGAAATTGCGTCGAATATCAGTCGTTGAATCTTTTCAGTTTTTCTGCATAAAAAGTAAGTATATAATATGCGATATAGATTTTAAAAAATCTTTACAGCAACGATTGATTTCCGATCTGGAGCAATTTTAGTTTAAAAATAAAATTCGATTATAAATCTTAATCTTAATTATCACTTTATCGAATGTAGAATAATGTAAATGGATTTTTGAGTCTACTTTGTATTAGTCATTTCTTCTCGATAGATTTTTCTTAAAGATAGATTTGACGAGAGCAGTTAAAACAATGTTATATCGGGCCATTAAAATAAAAATCTTATATGAAATCTTATCTTATCGATACTTACACAAAAAGTACATTGTATGCGAATCTGCTGGGTAAAATCGGAAGCAATTTTGCGAAAACATTAAAAATAAAATTCGATTATACTAACTGTTATTTAATGAGGGGAGATACGTAGCTCTCACGTTAATTCATTTTCCGTTGTAATCGGTATTCTCTCGCACAGAGTTTTAGATCGTTAATATATAATCAATACGAGTCGTATTAAATGTTTAATCTTTGGGTTTATTCCTGTGCGTGACCTTTGCGTGACAAATGTGGGTCACGTGACACGCGCGTACGATGAACGCGGAGAAATTATGCGAATTTATATATTCATACGCAGAATAATGCGTCGTCAGATCGCGAGGAGACTTATCGGATTGGTATTATCAAACGCGATATCAGAATAGAAAATGGATGGAGGCGCGCATCGTGTCCATAGTGCGATTATACGTGGAAAATCGCATGCTATAAATTTTCCGGTCGGACCTCGAAGCCATAGCGCGCGCGTTACACGCGAATAAATCAATGCTCAGCGGGCAGCTTGCGGCGAAAAAATTCAATCAAACAAACAAACGTGTCATCGAACGAACGTGCGAAACGAATGACTAGCCGACGGGCTTACCGAGTCCAATACCGGAGATTTTTGACGAAAGGGCATTTGACACTATTAAATTTATAGATCGAAGAGAGAGAGCGAAAGTATCATAAAAGAATTATATTCGTTCGGGCGAAACAATTCATCAAGACTTGTTTCATTTAAATAATCACATAAGTTAGAGATATCCGTTCAATTAATTTTCCAATGTCGTGATGTAGCATTATTTAAAGTATCATATTTTATATTAAATCTTATAAAAAATCTATTATTATTTTGTTTCAAAATTCTTTCTCAAAGTATTCGTACATATATTTGTTTCATTGGAAATGATTAAATTTTATTTTAATATTTGTCAGATATCGTTATTTTTAGCATATTCTTTCTTCTTCACTTTTAATATAACAGAAATTGTATTTGGAAAACTCTATCATTAGATTTCTAGATTTTTTAAAACTTGCAAATAAAATTTATTATTAAATATTATACGATTATTTCCACAAATTAATTATTGACGAAATAACTCTGATAATAAAAATGTCATTATAACTCTGGTGATAAAAATGTCATTATAATTGACATTTCATTGTAATTAAAATCTTTTATGAAGATAATTGAACGTTGTGTAAACGTATATATAATCCCGTTGATGAAAACGCGTAGCATTAAGTCGCAAAGAATGATTCCGCAATTCTCTTTGTTCTGCTAACCCGCGTGTATCATTCTCGTGTTCTTTGTGACTAACGAACACAGCCGTACGTTTCCTCTGTATACGAAGACTTTGCAAATATATATGAAAATAGCCCTTCCTGTTTTAGCATCATGGCCGCATTATACCGCGTGTGCGCGAGCGAATTTATGATAGCTGTGTTACGTAGCCTTAAAATAGCGACAACCAGTCTTATCCAACGTGAACCGGATAACCGGCGCTTTAAATCCATCCAATCATTTTTTCGCACACGCTTTCCTCGTATATGTGCGAACGATACGGCAAATATTGTTCCATTAGTAGATGATTTAATTTATCTCTCGCTTACATTATGCAATGTTTAATTGTAATAATGCTTCCTAATGAAACTACATTTCATCTATATAACTGAATTAGATATTACATAATTAATTAATTGATAAATATCATTTCGCCAGTAAAACATGTGTAACACGCGAAATCGTATAGCGAATCGCAGGTGATATCCCTTCCGCGAAAGCTGATTCGAATTTACTCTTTGCCTAATAATATCTCACAAATTTGTTCGCGATCGTCATTTTATCAGTAAATATTGATAATCAAAATAAATTATCGACGCGGCAGCGTTAATTTCCCTCGCAATTCACCTGAAATTGACTTTAAACGACATGAAACGCCCGAAAATATCGATACCGTTAATTCCCGCCGCAATTTATTTACAAAGAGCGTAAATGCATTTTTCACGCCGAATATCTCATCGGAAATGCGGTTACGCGGGCGAGAGAATCTCGGAAAAACGAACCAATGGATTTGTTTTACCCACCTGCGTAATTTACTGCATCATTCGGTGATCGCTCAAATATCAATCGGATGAATGCATCCATTGTTGTTTATCATGCAATTCTGCGTTTCGCGATCACGCGTTTATAAAAATGTACGACAACGTAACGCACGATTTCTTGTTTCCCTACGTCGGGCGATGTTTATCCGCCTCTATTAGCGTCATTTTACAAAACGTGTCTAACAATCGGGCGATGCGGAAGCCGGTGGAAGAAGACATCTGCGAAGGGATTTCGGGATCGAATAAGATCCCATCGCGTGACGTTTGTGACGTCTATTCCGCGTCCCTTTCCCTCTCCGGATCCGATAGTTGGCCCTTTTGAGATCTCGGGAGGGAAACGTGCGATGCATGTGTCGCGTGCGCTTTAGGAGAACCGGGAATCTTATTGAATCTGCTGTAATCTCCCCGGCGCGTTCGATGTATATTTGGATGCTTTTGACAGCGTTCCACTACGCCTTCACAACCGGGATCAATTATATGGCATAACGTCAGTTTCCTCAGAACGATATCGATTTTACAATGTCCCCCTACATTTAGGCTTCATGGCCACCTGCGATAAGCAAGCTTTAATAGTGGTAGCATAAATTTTATAAGCAAATGCTTCGTGTGCCTACGTAATTGTTATCGAATCATTCGCGATGAAATAATAATTTCCCTAATTTTTATGGAAAAGAGAAGGAGAAAGGAAGGTAGACGAAAATTCGGAATAATTATTATCAATGATTATAGAGAAATATATATTATATTCATTATATATTTACATGCGACTTTTGACCAGACCTGAAATTTGCAATTAGCATGAGTGATTTAAGAATTATCGATTCGTTGAACAGCGACCCGCTCGAGCGTTGTAATTGCGTGTGTTGTAGGCTTGCTGCAGTATACGGGAAGGGCAAACCCGTATAATCGCGATATATATATCTAAGTGGCAACCAAGAAAACAGGTTGGTAGAGTCGCCCACCGACCGAACGACCAGTCAGATCTGTGCATTCGTGCGATTCGTGCTTCGTCTACTTCAAAAAGTTCGTCTCTTCTCGTTTGTTCGAAACTATATAATCTGTCGCGACAGGAAACGAGCTATCGATCGTAGCGTCTGGAACGTTTCCGGTAGGTGTGACTGCATCTTTGGGATCGTCATATAATCCGCGGATTTCTAATATCTATTTTTATATTTTTACTTGACACACTGGATAATAATTCCTAGACGTTATGTAATCGTATTATATAATTATACGGATCGCAATTATAAAAGTTTATTGTACTCTTTATGTTAACTTGTTTCTTAATTACTTCAAAATCGAATTTTTGCATACTCAAATAAAATTAAGAACTTAGATTAAAACACAGTATAAAAGAACAATTTCTCTTTAAATATTCCCCGTTTAAATGCTCAAGAGAAAGTTCGAGACTTTAAAATCGCCATATTTTGCAGACTCTGGCAGCTGCCTCACACTAGAATTTCTCATGACACTATATTCTTAGATTTCTATAGTATTGATCGATTGCAGATAATAATGCCCGAGTGCTATGTAATAATAATGTTCCGATCCGCTATGCTACATAAAGTACATCGCACCCACCTCATCGAGTTCTTTGACTTTCAACGTGAGATCTATAATTTCTTTTCAGAAATTTAAATATTAAAATATAAAAGCAAAAAGCTATTTTCTTTAAATATTCTCTTATAAAATACCATAAATTAAATATCTTTACTTTTAACATTTTTAATCAGATTGTTTCTCTAATGAAATAGGTGAAAAAAACTTGTAATGATAAGATAACTGTAAAAGATATACATTAAAGTACGTGTTCAGAAATGTTAAAATAACATTTCTCTGTTTCCGTATTATTTTAAAGAAATATAAATATTATATCCATATTTTTATCGCGTGCAATTACATAAGGGTTTTTTTCATTAATATTTTTATATCAATAAAAATACCGATATTTTTATCATTAAAATATCTTTATAATTATTAAAATAAAGAAAATGGATATATATAATTCAAATAATTTTTATGCTATTTTCTATAATATATATATATCCATGGCTTATTAGGCTTAAAACTCATTGTATTAATATCTAATATTATTCAGCAAAATGTAATAAATAAGAGATTAATCAATCAAATGTTGATGTAACTTTTTTTGATAAAAATATCAGAAAATAGCTGAATGTGAAAAAAAGGTCTTTTAGGAAAGGCAACAATGTGCTTGATGTATTTTACATAAAATTGAAGATAAAACATCACCAATAAAGTGTGATTCTCTTTGAAATTCAACTCGATGTCTAAAAATGCACTTTCTCTGTGAATTTCGCGATCCTAAAGTGGCGTACGAATGCCTCTTTTAGCAAAAGGGTTGAAACAGGGAAGAGGGAAAACGAGCTCATCGTCTTGCCTCTTGCGTTTCCACGAGATATCGTTACGACGAGAAAGAAAGGAAAAATGCGCTGGCATAGACGTTGATAAGATACATGGAAGGAGGAATATGACAGTCCGGCAATATCCCGTGTTCCCTCCATTTCTTTAACCCGTTGACAAGCATTATGAGTTTTATCACTATGGAGGCTTCCTTCATTTTATCCGATATTATCGAACCGACCGTTGCCGCTCAAGCTCGAGCTTTTGTGACGGAAGAACGATGATTAAAGGGCAATGTACGAGCCACCTGCTGATCGTATACGGTTTTATAATTTACGGAGTAAAACAGTGATTAAAACTATGGATTTCTGTTTAAATAGAAAAAAAACGTTGAATTGAAATGTATAACTAAATAATAGATGTCTTTTGAGATTTCTCTCGATATTTTATCCATTCAGTCTTGAGAAAAATTCTGTTCTCTCGTGAGACTTTACTTAATACTATCCAACATCCGTAAGAGGAACGATCAACAATGCCATGCTACTCATACGAATGGAACGACGACAAAGATTGAAAATGCAGGGAATGTCGCGGTGTGTTCGGTCCGCCCGACGAGATTTCTGATCGCACGATGCTTAACCGAGATATTCCGAGATAAAGAGGAAGGATCGCTGTTGCGTTCTGCATTTTCTCGCGAAAGGATCCTCGGCGTCTAGACGCGTATCCCTCACGTATTTCACGGCCCCGGGGGCGTTTGCGGAATTCTTGTTTGAGAGGACCGGAGAGGAAGGAGGGGAAGAAAGTGGGTGAAATTTGCGCAAAGGAAGGGGACGTCGACTCGTCGTCGTCCTCTTCTTCGCTTCTTCCCGTAAAAGGACGGCGCAAAAGTTCGGAATACAGCCCCGAGGTGGCGAGCAACGGCAGCAACGGAGATGATTGATAGTAAAGAAGGGGGGCATCGCGCCACGTCACGCAACCACCACAATGGGGACCAGAAATATGAGACCGGAATAAAATTCATAGCCGTTGCCAGGGGAGACGTTAGGCCGCGATTGAGATGCAAATAAGAGCGAGACACCCGGTAGCAACGACAAAGACGACTTTCCGTGGCATCTTCGTAACTCGTTCGTTCCGATGGCATTCGCGGGGGAGAATTTTTTATGAGTTTTGGCAAGTCGCTATCTTGCGCGTATCAAAGTTTCGGGAGCTTTAAAAATTTTTCGGGATAGAACGCTCGACAACGATCTCCATATCGCGAATCAACTGTTTATTTGAAAGTGATGTAAAGAATATTTTAGAAAGCTTCATTCGTATGCGAGATCCATACAAATCTCAATAAGATGTTTATTTTTTCTTCTTATTAATACATGATGCATGAGGATGGAACTTCTGTTTCATCTTCCTAATATAATATTCTTATTTTAATCATTATTCCTCGTTTTAACTTCCTCCTTGACATAATTTCCTCATAATCACGATGATCCGGCATATTATTTAATGAGGCAATAATTCTTTGTTAATTAAAAGAATTTTTGAAATTTAAATAAGCAGATATATAAGCATAAAATTTTTTAAAATTTATATAAGCATAAAATATTCCAAAATGTCATAATATTATTCTTAATATGTTGTGCATTTATTATCATAATGAATGTTCGTGTTGCTTGTGTCTTCTTTCAGATCTACATCTGCCATCATCGGCTGAGGGGGCTGTTAAAGACATTACGTATACATAAATATATATTTGAACTGTTAGAGTGGAACGATAGCCTGTACCCGATGAGTGTGAGTATCAATCGCTCCAAATATCCATAATCCTATTAACTAATGTCAGCTTATTATCTAATTACTCGCGATCGTTGTCCGCGAGATGACCATTATTCTGATTCCGGCGACATTACATCATCGTTGCGGCAGCTAATCGCTCGCTTCAAAACGTGATTTACAGTGATTTAGAGCCGATGCTAATCACGAGTTTGGACTTTATTTTTCACGAAGTGAATTGTAAGCGCGCGGTATTCTTCCTCGACTTTATGTGTTGCCTTCGACAGAATATGACTCGTCGCTTTTTTTAGACGATTACGAAAGCGTGCTCTTTGCGGAAATTGTTCGCAAGTGACTCATGAAAATAACGAAAGGGATTAGCACAAAGTGAAGCCGACACGAGTTTTCCGTCTCATTATCGCGCAAGACGCGATCGTGTTAAGACGATTCCGCCGGATGAATTAAGTCCAATAAAAGGCGGTTTCGCGTTTCTACCATTATGGTAGACTACTACATAACGTGTAACGGTATGGCGTGTACCTGCTACGGTTACACCGCCCGCTCGTTCCTTATTGATCGCGCTGCAGGGCTCTAAGCAGGAGTCGTAAGAAACTACATAAATTAATCACGAGACGAGAAACTCGCCGCAGGCTCTTAAACGGATCACGTCACTCTCTCTCACTCTCTCTCTCTCTCTCTCTCTCTCCCTCTCTTGGCGGTGTTAGAAATTAAGGATAATTAGGAGAATTAGGAAAGAATGTGTTGGTGCGCGTCGATTCTCTGAATCCGCCGACGATTTATTTATTCTTGCATTTAACGGGATGTGAGCGTCTCTTCTATTATATAAGCACGCGAAACCGACAGCACATGAAAAAGTATATACATTAATTAAAGTGAACGAAGCGGCCGGCAAGCCTGACAGACTGTCGGACATCGAGTCGGACGACACCGCAAATTAAACGAGTGGAAAAAATTGGAGCAAATAGCATTTCGACAAATTAATCTTTCGTGACATATAAGCATGTGAGAGAATAAAAGATTTAGAGTTATTTTTATTGAAAAGGCGCGTGACGAAATAAAATGCATATAGTAATAAAACAATATTTATATCACAAACAAAGATTAAGTTATATTTTATATATATGTATATATGTATATATATATATATATATATATATATATATATATATGTATCTGTGTGTGTCGGCACAGCTGAAAAATAAATTACATTTGAATTTTAAAATGCGGTTTACTTGTGACTTTAAAATTTACATTCAACTTTAAAATTTACATTCGCAAGAAAAGAGGAATAATTTATATTACATTTAATGTTATATTTTTATCAATAATTTTCTTTAAATATCTACGTTCGAAAATAATTATATTATAAATAATTATATAATTATAAATAATTATATTATTATCTATATATTTATCTTCTGTAATATTATTATTATATTATTATCTATACATTTATCTCTTCCTTAATATTTCAATTTAAAAGAAATAAAGAAAATTTGCAAAACGAGCTTTTTATTTATATAATAATCATGATAATATAATGGATATATTAATACAACAATAATTTTCTCAATACATCTATGACAGTATAAATATCTGACAAATGTCGTTTTTCCATATTTCAGATTCGATTGGCAGGTGGCCATATGGTGAAGCAGAGGAGGTTTATCGGGAATACCAATAATAAAATGATCAATATACGGGAACATTTATAAATGTTTTAGAGAGATAATTTAATGCGATCCGAATGCAGGAAACGTTGTTTTCTCTTCACGACCTAGGTGCAAAAGTGGATCTGTATGCTCCTGAACGGGATTTATCGAGAATTTCACGGAGCAACGGTTCATGTTGCGGTCGCAAGACGCCTTGTCACGTATTGTAAAGAGAGTTACAGGTTGGACAACGTATCATCGAAATAATTTGACAGATTGCTAGATGTGATTTGTAATTCGATTTCCTTTTTTATATTTAACCCAGATTTATAGAGGGATTTTTTTAGTTTCTTATTGCGGTAAGTAAAACACGATACGTGACGATATTATTCGTTCAAATCATTTTTTATCGTACATTCATACAATGAAATCAAATGAAATTGATATTTCTACGAAATGTACATTTTCGTATTTGCATCGTGAATGCGAAAGTCGTGGGTTTCGCGAAAAAGATCATGAAAAATTTTCGACATCGAACACATGTAGAATGGAGCAAAGTATATTTTTCGTATACATGTATCGAATGTAACCCGCATGTATCAAACTATATGGAACGTAATTGTAATCCATAATAAAAATCATTTCTGAGCAGCAACAGTCGAGTAGTATTTCGAAAGCTTCTTCTTTGTAAAAAAGAAGAAGAAATTTAACATTCAATATAGCTGCATTTTAAAATCCTAATAATACGGAAATTTAACAATAGAGATGGTTTCGTATGTTTATTCCCGATAATAAAAATGCGCTTGACGAATAAAAAATACATTCTAACGTTTAACATGCTTATCTTTAACAGATTTTAATAGAGATGTTTGTAAATGGAAATTGTACAACGACAGATATTCTTTCATATTGTAAATCAGGTCAATAGTTTAAGAAATGGCGAGGAATTACAAAACAATTTATCATAGTTTAAGATGTAGATCGTCAAGAAATAGCGAGAACACACACACATTTACGGTGATTCACCACGATAATCGAACAACAAACAACTTGGTTGAGTTTAACGTATAGCCAATATAACAATAATTTGTCAGCATCTCGCGTGCATTTCTGGAGCAGGCTGTCGTCCAGGAGTCATTGAGACTAATCGATTATTCATTCGTAACTTTTTCCTACTCAAACATCGTGAAAAACGGAATATAATTTCGCTTCTATTTTTCAAATTTTAGATTCCATCGCATATTTTACGAAGGAGGACGTATAAGCCAAAATAATCGAGTATTACCAGCAGTATTCATTGGCAACTTAGTCGCAGTATTAATGCAGGGAAAATTAATAAATTTCCATATCAGAACCGGACAAACGCAATACGGTCCAACTGTATGAGAACAAACGGTAGCTTAATTTACAAAATCCCGCTAATGTTCGACCGTCTACCGTGCTGGGCGTGATTTTTCACCATAATGGTAAGTAATGTTTCTGTATTTTACATAAAGTGATTTGTGTTTTTGCGCGATACAGAATCCGGAATATAAAATTTCATTATTTATATTATTCATATATCAAGTTACAAACGTTGAATCGCTTTTGCGTACCGCGAGACCGCAAACTAACACATATGTCGCGCATATATAATTCACATTACGTAAATCGTATATCGAATAGCTCGCAGAGTCGATAACCTTCGTCATGGTCAGCGAGCGAATTTGCTCAACCACTCCAATTCGGATTGTCGAACGAATGGAAATTTCCGCCCGATTCGGAGATTGCCTTTCGGAGATTTATACCTAGAGAGCATCTTGTATATTTTCGAGCAGGGAACTCGATTGTCATTCAGGTAAATTCCCGGTGGGGAAGGCGGAAAGGGAGAAAATTGCGTTCGCGGAGTTTCTCCTATTAATCAACGTTTCCTGCTGCACTTAGGAGATCACTTTGCGCGCTGGACTCCTCCAACTACGCAATCTAATTTAGATATTTCTCGTGTTTTGAATACGTTAAAATGTTCGCGAGTGTCTAACAAGAAACGGAGGGTGCGTTAATCCTTTAATATGCATGTACCCCGTTGCATGTACGTATCGCTTATAATAGTGCCGTTTGCATATGTATCACGCAATGATGTCGCAAAACTGACATTGAAAATTAGCAATGTAAAATTGACGATGTTATGCAGATTAACGCTAACGCGATGCAACAGGCATATTTCAAACGCGGGAGAGCCTTTCCGGCGCGAACCGGTTCGCTTCGGAGATTGAAAGTACCACGAAAGATCCTGCGAGTTCATTGATCTCGTAATATCAAATACGAGGCGCATTCGCACCGCTTGTCGAAGGTGAGGGACGGAAATTTCCCCTCCGTTTGCGACACGTTTTGAATTGCGTTACGCGTTATCAGGCGATGTTTCGTAATGTATATGTCTGATAAATGCCATCTTAGTTACATATAACAATCCGCTGGGTGCTATTAAAACTTGATATCGTGTTCGAACGATAAGCAACATGCCATTCGCGATAACTATTGCGAAGAATGGTATTAAGCAAATAAACGTCTTCCTCTAAGAAATGAACACACGCCAGAGAACATCCGGTTATGTTTTTAGCACGGTTCATCATTTATTTTCGGATATCGAGTAATTTCGTCAAATTAAAATTAAAGTCGTTTTCATAAAAAAAAAGGAAATTTCATTTCTTCTTTCGTCCGATATAATTGTCGACTTGCGATTGCACTCCAATGTCAATTTCGACAGCGGCGTTCGCGCGAAAATTCGATTCGGGATCAACGCGGCGGAAAACAAAGAGCGCACTCTCGATTTTCGAGTGGAATCTCCGCCGAGTGGATTTTCACAAGGCTGCCCTTGAGGTGCGCGATAAGGATTGCGCCTCGGGTTTCCTTCGCCAGAGTTGATTCACTGGTTAATCAGAACGACCGCGGAATTCCGCTGTGAATTCCGCTACTCGAGAGTCCGCTCTTCTTGCCGCGAGATCTTATCTTAGTTTGCTGTTAAAATCCCGCAGCTCCCGAATAATTGACTCTTTTATTATTTATAATCGATTGCAATTATTCAACGAGAAACTTTATCTCGATACGCATCATTACGAACGAAGCCGACGATACGAATTCCAACACGGATTGGAATCGTTATTACTTTCTCGATAGAAAATTTTCGAGATGAAGATATATTTTACTTCATCGTAAAATTTGCAAAATGTTGAATGATTTAGAAAAATTTGAATTTCCTATTATTTTTTCAAGAATTAATTGAAATAAAATAAAAGTTATCGCGCCCTTAGAAATTTAAGGAAATGACTGATAAAGAATGCTTGTCTGCGGTAAAGTAGCGACGTTGATAATCGATGAGTCGACAAGTATATAAAAAACGCCTCGTTGTCTTCTTGAGGTTACGTGATGCCTGATAAAATTATCGTACACGACGAAGATAAGAGACCAGCAAGCATGTGTCTAACATAAGACGCGCGTAGCAAGAATGAAGGAAAATACAAAGAGGCTATACTTGACCGAGGCTGACCGTGAGCAAGCTTCGTCGAGCGAAGCCAACCTTGTACTACGATAGTATTAATCGCGAACGATACGCGGTCGGTGATATAATACGGTAAGTTATCAAGTTCTATTTCGTTCTTCGGCAATGACTTTTTTCAGTGTAACAATGGGAAAAGCGATTAGATTGAGATGAAATACAACGCTCTCTTCCCTGATTTACATGGGACGCAAATGAGTAGTTAGTGTCTGTCTCTTCTTCTTTCTAACGGTGGTTCGTCGTGTCGGTTTAACGGTGCGTCAGCGGTTTTCCGTATCTCCGGTCACGGTCCGTGTTTTCCACCGCGCTCGATTAAACGCCCCGCGTTCGCGTTTGGGAGAATAATTAGTGATAATGGAGGGACCATGAGAGGAGAGGGTGGTAATCATGGCATCCGCTGCGCTTCACTATTAGGATATTTCATTAAAAGATAAAATAAACTTTATTTGGTGGTTAGCAAAGAAAATATTTTGGACGTTACGCGCTAGTCAAGAATTTGATTGTGCATCAGGTTGTACAAGGGACTCTGAATTCAGTGTCAAAATTGATACAGCGGCTTTAGGACACGAAAACAAGTCGAAAATGTTAATAAACATATGTTCGAATTCGAACGGTTTTGGAGTTATAAGGTAATAAAGTTGCTTCCTTAAGACAATATAAATTGAAATAAATGTTGTTTAATGTTCTTTATTTTATTTAAAGCTTTATACAAAAGATGCTCAAAAATTCTCCCGTCGACTTCGATACACTTTCTAACACGAATTAATAAATTGTTAGCATTTTGAAAAATATTTGAAGTGTATCGAAGCCGATGGAAACATTTTTGAGCATCTTTTGTAAAGCTTTAAACAAAATAAATAACATTAAAACTTATTTCTACTAACTTTTATACTAACTTATTTCAATTTATATTATCTTAAGAAAGCTTTATTATCTTATAACTCCAAAATCGTTCGAATTCGGACATATGTTTATTAACATTTTCGACTTGTTTTCATGTCCTAAAGCCGCTGTATCAATTGGCACTGAATTCAGAGACACTTTGTATATATATTTATGACTTTTGAATGACAAAGAGAGTTGAAAGAAAAAAAGAGACAGATTATTGATATCTCCCTTTTATAATTATTAAGCTGCTAGTAAGATTGATGAATAGACATGACAAATATAAATCAGCGATGGATTTTTTATCGTTAGTGATTCGCGAAAAGAATATTTCAGATATTACGTTGGTTGAAAAATCGGATATATTGAAAAATCGCAGACGCGTGATTTATTTTACATTTATTTTATGATATACATTCGAGATCAAATCATTTTTTTCTCACCTATCATCGTTTGTATTTGATAGCATATGATCATAAAATGTGGTAAAACCCCTGTTTCGTATTTATGAATTGAAAAAAACAAACAATTGAATCAATTGTCATGAATCACTCTGAATCACACGTACACATACAAAATCACTATCCTAATATAAATAACGGTAGAAACACAAAATGTGTAGAGATTAAATTTATACTATATATCGTAATTTATCAAGCACAGCTAAACAAGGAGCACTTCGATAGCTTTTACAATTTATTTTATCATACTATATAATAATATGCGAAAAATTGTATTTTCTTTGGTTATGTAAAATGCAAAAGAAAGTTTCATATAATTTCTCATTTTTATCATTAAAATATAATATGGTTACAACGAATAATCTTAAATATGGAAATAGGAATTTTCTAATTTTTATCGAGGTCTTTTCTCGATAAAAATTAGAAAAATATAACTAAGCTAAAAAGTGTTTCTTTTTCATCCCTAATTTAATCAACCATTCACGAAACATTAAAGTTTCGTGATTTCATGTCGCGCGTTAAGACGCGTCTGACTGGATTAAAGTGCACTCAAGTTTAGCCGAGTGCAATGTATCGTATCGCGTGTCGGAATTGAAACAGGCGTCTATGAAGCTTACTGTTGGGTTTGAGTTTATTACGTGAGATCGAATCCGAAGCCATCGACCTCTCTAGATGCGTAGATATCCTCATTGAAGCGAGTAACTTCGCGATATCAGGTTGCTATTTTTATCAGTTTTATCACCGACGCTCTATTGACACTTATATAACCACGAATCGAAGTCATTGTGAAAATTTGCGATTGTTTCGGTGCGCGATGATTTGTATGGAACGATCCTATTCGGTGAATCGTAACAATTTGCATTGTTAATTGGAGATCCGCTGATAGGCTGTGTAATGAACTCAGAGAGTTACAATACAATTCATATGCGATTAATCGGGATAATTGCGACACTGGGGTAAATGCGATATTTTGCACTATGCACTCGCCATGTCAATTATTCAACCAGGCCAGTTTCTGAAATAACAATGTCCCATGAGTGAGTGAGTGAGAGAGAGAGAGAGAAAGAGAGAAAATGAGAAAATATTTCGTTCCTTTTTCTCTAACGAGTGCATATAGTTCTTCATAATATAATATAGGTATTACGTATAACTGTCTCATAAAGCAGAAATCTCACGGTTTTTGCCGCGTAATCTTTTCATCGTCATGACGAGAAAAGTGCGCGACGAAGGATCTTGTCGAGGGTGCGAAAGGGAAAGAGGGAGAGACATCTCGTCGCGAGTGAGTTTTTCTCGCTGTAGCTATGTTTACGTTTTCGCATCATCCGTTTTCATTTCCTTAATTTTCTTCCGCATTACTCGACCGGCGAGAATTTAAACGAGGTCGGATAACGTGTCGCGCTCGCGCTCAAAAGAAGGAGCGAAAATTTCCCCGTTCTTTCCGCGGCGCATTTCCGGAGCGCCGCGTCTTCCCGGAGCATTCCCGACCACTCCCCGAGGGTCGGCAACCTTTTTATTTGCCTCTTGCATCCTGCCGCCTCATCCTACCGAAGTATGCGTATGTGTATGTACGTGTGTTCAGGTGCTTTCTTTATGACTCGCGTTGACGTCCATGCGACGATTCGAGTTGCAATCCCTCGAGTAAGAACTAACGTAGCAAGAAAAGATGGTGGAATTATATATTTGAGCTCGCCGAGACTCAAATCAAATGCTACAGGCCTATCATCAAGTCGCGGGAAACTATTAATTACCGATCTGTGTCAGTGATGATTAATTATCTGTCATGATTTTAATTGCAACGACTCTTTTGTTCATGATTTTAATTGCAATGACTCTTTTGTTTAACAATACTAGTTCGTGATTTTTAAAAGATAAAGAAGATTCCGGAATATTTTTTTTGTAAATCTTTTCAGATTGGGATTTGATTAATATTACAAACACGAATCCTGTGAAATAAATAAT